ATGCTTTCCATCACCCCGCCCCATTCTCCCTCTTTCCATCACCCCCGCCTCATTCTCCCGCTTTCCATCACCCCGCTTCATTCTCCCGCTTTCCATCACCCCGCCCCATTCTCCCGCTTTCCATCACCCCGCCCTATTCTCCCTCTTTCCATCACCCCGCCCCATTCTCCCTCTTTCCGTAACCCCGCCCCATTCTCCCGCTTTCCATCACCCCGCCTCATTCTCCCGCTTTCCATCACCCCGCCCCATTCTCCCGCTTTCCATCACCCGGCCCCATACTCCCGCTTTCCATCACCCCGCCCCATTCTCCCTCCTTCCATCATCCCGCACCATTCTCCCGCTTTCCATCACCCCGCCCCATTCTTCCTCTTTCCATCACCCCGCCCCATTCTCCCTCTTTCCATCACCCCGCCCCATTCTCCTGCTTTCCATCACCCTGCCCCATTCTCCCGCTCTCCATCAGCTCGCCCTATTCTCCCTCTTTCCATCACCCGGCCCCATTCTCCCTCTTTCCATCACCCTGCCCCATTCTCCCTTTTTCCATCACCCCGCCCCATTCTCCTGCTTTCCATCACCCCGCCCCATTCTCCCGCTTTCCATCACCCCGCCTCATTCTCCCGCTTTCCATCACCCCGCCCCATTCTCCCGCTTTCCATCACCAGGCCCCATTCTCCCGCTTTCCAGCACCCCGCCCCATTCTCCCTCTTTCCATCACCCCGCCCCATTCTCCCGCTTTCCATCACCCCGCCCCATTCTCCCTCTTTCCATAACCCCGCCCCATTCTCCCTCTTTCCATCACCCCGCCCCATTCTCCCGCGTTCCATCACCCCGCCCCATTCTCCCGCTTTCCATCATCCCGCCCCATTCTCCCGCTTTCCATCACCCCGCCCCATTCTCCCGCTTTCCATCACCCCGTCCCATTCTCCCGCTTTCCATCACCCCGCCCCATTCTCCCTCTTTCCATCTCCCGCCCCATTCTCCCTCTTTCCATCACCCCGCCCCATTCTCCCGCTTTCCATCACCCCGACCCATTCTCCCTCTTTCCATCACCCCGCCCCATTCTTCCTCTTTCCATCACCGCGCCCCATTCTCCCTCTTTCCATATCCCCGCCCCGTTCTCCTGCTTTCCATCACCCCGCCCCATTCTCCCGCTTTCCATCACCCCGCCCTATTCTCCCACTTTCCATCACCCCGCCCCATTCTCCCGCTTTCCAGCACCCCGCCCCATTCTCCCGCTTTCCATCACCCCGCCCCATTACCCCGCTTTCCATCACCCCGCCCCACTCTTCCGCTTTCCATCACCCCCGCCCCATTCTCCCGCTTTCCATCACCCCCGCCCCATTCTCCCACTTTCCATCACCCCCGCCCCATTCTCCCGCTTTTCATCACCCCGCCCCATTCTCCCGCTTTCCATCACCCCGCCCCATTCTCCCACTTTCCATCACCCCGCCCCATTCTCCCACTTTCCATCACCCCGCCCCATTCTCCCGCTTTCCATCACCCCGACCCATTCTCCCTCTTTCCATCATCCCTTCCTCTTTCCATCACCCCGCCCCATTCTCCCTCTTTCCATAACCCCGCCCCGTTCTCCCGCTTTCCATCACCCCGCCCCGTTCTCCCGCTTTCCATCACCCCGCCCCGTTCTCCCGCTTTCCATCACCCCGCCCCGTTCTCCCGCTTTCCAGCACCCCGCCCCATTCTCCCGCTTTCCATCACCCCGCCCCATTCTCCCGCTTTCCAGCACCCCGCCCCATTTTCCCGCTTTCCAGCACCCCGCCCCATTCTCCCGCTTTCCATCACCCCGCCCCACTCTTCCGCTTTCCAGCACCCCGCCCCATTCTCCCGCTTTCCATCACCCCGCCCCATTCTCCCGCTTTCCATCACCCCGCCCCATTCTCCCGCTTTCCATCACCCCGCCCCATTCTCCCGCTTTCCATCACCCCGCCCCATTCTCCCGCTTTCCATCACCCCGCCCCATTCTCCCACTTTCCATCATCCCGCCCCATTCTCCCACTTTCCATCACCCCGCCCCATTCTCCCACTTTCCATCACCCCGCCCCATTCTCCTGCTTTCCATCACCCCGACACATTCTCCCTCTTTCCATCACCCCGCCCCACTCTTCCGCTTTCCAGCACCCCGCCCCATTCTCCCGCTTTCCATCACCCCGCCCCATTCTCCCGCTTTCCATCACCCCGCCCCATTCTCCCTCTTTCCATCAACCCGCCCCATTCTCCCGCTTTCCATCACCCCGCCCCATTCTCCCTCTTTCCATCACCCCCCCCCCATTCTTCCGCTTTCCATCACCCTGCCACATTCTCCCGCTTTCCAGCGCCCTGCCCCATTCTCCCGCTTTCCATCACCCCGCCCCATTCTCCCGCTTTCCATCACCCCGCCCCATTCTCCCTCTTTCCATCACTCCGCCCCATTCTCCCGCTTTCCATCACCCCGTCCCATTCTCCCTCTTTCCATCACCCGCCCCATTCTCCCGCTTTCCATCACCCGCCCCATTCTCCCGCTTTCCATTATCCCGCCCCATTCTCCCGCTTTCCATCCCCCGCCCCATTCTCCCTCTTTCCATCACCCCGCCCCATTCTCCCTCTTTCCATCACCCCGCCCCATTCTCCCTCTTTCCATCACCCCGCCCCATTCTCCCGCTTTCCATCACCCCGCCCCATTCTCCCTCTTTCCATCACCCCGCCCCATTCTCCCTCTTTCCATCACCCCGCCCCATTCTCCCTCTTTCCATAACCCCGCCCCGTTCTCCCGATTTCCATCACCCCGCCCCATTCTCCCGCTTTCCATCACCCCGCCCCATTCTCCCACTTTCCATCACCCCGCCCCATTCTCCCGCTTTCCAGCACCCGGCCCCATTCTCCCGCTTTCCATCACCTCGCCCCATTCTCCCGCTTTCCATCACCCCGCCCCACTCTTCCGCTTTCCAGCACCCCGCCCCATTCTCCCGCTTTCCATCAACCCGCCCCATTCGCTGGCTTTCCAGCACCCCCATTCTCCCGCGTTCCATCACCCCGCCCCGTTCTACCGCTTTCCATCACCCCGCCTCATTCTCCCGCTTTCCATCACCCCGCCCCGTTCTCCCGCTTTCCATCACCCCGCCTCATTCTCCCGCTTTCCATCACCCCGCCCCATTCTCCCGCTTTCCATCACCCCGTCCCATTCTCCCGCTTTCCATCACCCCGCCCCATTCTCCCTCTTTCCATCACCCCGCCCCATTCTCCCTCTTTCCATCACCCCGCCCCATTCTCCCGCTTTCCATCACCCCGCCCGATTCTCCCGCTTTTCATCACCCCGCCCCATTCTTCCGCTTTCCATCACCCCGCCCCATTCTCCCGCTTTCCATCACCCCGCCCCATTCTCATGCTTTCCATCACCCCGCCCCATTCTCCCTCTTTCCATCACCCCCGCCCCATTCTCCCGCTTTCCATCACCCCGCCCTATTCTCCCTCTTTCCATCACCCCGCCCCATTCTCCCTCTTTCCGTAACCCCGCCCCATTCTCCCGCTTTCCAGCACCCCGCCCCATTCTCCCGCTTTCCATCAACCCGCCCCATTCTCTGGCTTTCCAGCACCCCCATTCTCCCGCGTTCCATCACCCCGCCCCGTTCTCCCGCTTTCCATCACCCCGCCTCATTCTCCCGCTTTCCATCACCCCGCCCCGTTCTCCCGCTTTCCATCACCCCGCCCCATTCTCCCGCTTTCCATCACCCCGCCCCATTCTCCCGCTTTCCATCACCCCGTCCCATTCTCCCGCTTTCCATCACCCCGCCCCATTCTCCCTCTTTCCATCACCCCGCCCCATTCTCCCTCTTTCCATCACCCCGCCCCATTCTCCCGCTTTCCATCACCCCGCCCGATTCTCCCGCTTTTCATCACCCTGCCCCATTCTTCCGCTTTCCATCACCCCGCCCCATTCTCCCGATTTCCATCACCCCGCCCCATTCTCATGCTTTCCATCACCCCGCCCCATTCTCCCTCTTTCCATCACCCCCGCCCCATTCTCCCGCTTTCCATCACCCCGCTTCATTCTCCCGCTTTCCATCACCCCGCCCCATTCTCCCGCTTTCCATCACCCCGCCCTATTCTCCCTCTTTCCATCACCCCGCCCCATTCTCCCTCTTTCCGTAACCCCGCCCCATTCTCCCGCTTTCCATCACCCCGCCTCATTCTCCCGCTTTCCATCACCCCGCCCCATTCTCCCGCTTTCAATCACCCGGCCCCATACTCCCGCTTTCCATCACCCCGCCCCATTCTCTGGCTTTCCAGCACCCCCATTCTCCCGCGTTCCATCACCCCGCCCCGTTCTCCCGCTTTCCATCACCCCGCCTCATTCTCCCGCTTTCCATCACCCCGCCCCGTTCTCCCGCTTTCCATCACCCCGCCCCATTCTCCCGCTTTCCATCACCCCGCCCCATTCTCCCGCTTTCCATCACCCCGTCCCATTCTCCCGCTTTCCATCACCCCGCCCCATTCTCCCTCTTTCCATCACCCCGCCCCATTCTCCCTCTTTCCATCACCCCGCCCCATTCTCCCGCTTTCCATCACCCCGCCCGATTCTCCCGCTTTTCATCACCCCGCCCCATTCTTCCGCTTTCCATCACCCCGCCCCATTCTCCCGATTTCCATCACCCCGCCCCATTCTCATGCTTTCCATCACCCCGCCCCATTCTCCCTCTTTCCATCACCCCCGCCCCATTCTCCCGCTTTCCATCACCCCGCTTCATTCTCCCGCTTTCCATCACCCCGCCCCATTCTCCCGCTTTCCATCACCCCGCCCTATTCTCCCTCTTTCCATCACCCCGCCCCATTCTCCCTCTTTCCGTAACCCCGCCCCATTCTCCCGCTTTCCATCACCCCGCCTCATTCTCCCGCTTTCCATCACCCCGCCCCATTCTCCCGCTTTCCATCACCCGGCCCCATACTCCCGCTTTCCATCACCCCGCCCCATTCTCCCTCCTTCCATCATCCCGCCCCATTCTCCCGCTTTCCATCACCCCGCCCCATTCTTCCTCTTTCCATCACCCCGCCCCATTCTCCCTCTTTCCATCACCCCGCCCCATTCTCCTGCTTTCCATCACCCTGCCCCATTCTCCCGCTCTCCATCAGCTCGCCCCATTCTCCCTCTTTCCATCACCCCGCCCCATTCTCCCTCTTTCCATCACCCCGCCCCGTTCTCCCGCTTTCCATCACCCCGCCCCGTTCTCCCGCTTTCCATCCCCCGCCCCATTCTCCTCTTTCCATCACCCCGCCCCATTCTCCCTCTTTCCATCACCCCGCCCCATTCTCCCTCTTTCCATCACCCCGCCCCATTCTCCCGCTTTCCATCAACCCGCCCCATTCTCCCTCTTTCCATCACCCCGCCCCATTCTCCCTCTTTCCATAACCCCGCCCCGTTCTCCCGCTTTCCATCACCGCGCCCCATTCTCCCGCTTTCCATCACCCCGCCCCATTCTCCCACTTTCCATCACCCCGCCCCATTCTCCCGTTTTCCAGCACCCCGCCCCATTCTCCCGCTTTCCAGCACCCCGCCCCATTCTCCCGCTTTCCATCACCCCGCCCCACTCTTCCGCTTTCGAGCACCCCGCCCCATTCTCCCGCTTTCCGTCAACCCGCCCCATTCTCCCGCTTTCCAGCACCCCGCCCGATTCTCCCGCTTTCCATCACCCCGCCCCGTTCTCCCGCTTTCAATCACCCCGCCTCATTCTCCCGCTTTCCATCACCCCGCCCCATTCTCCCGCTTTCCATCACCCCGTCCCATTCTCCCTCTTTCCATCACCCCGCCCCATTCTCCCGCTTTCCATCACCCGCCCCATTCTCTCACTTTCCATCATCCCGCCCCATACTCCCGCTTTCCATCACCCCGCCCCATTCTCCCTCTTTCCATCACCCCGCCCCATTCTCCCTCTTTCCATCACCCCGCCCCATTCTCCCGCTTTCCATCACCCCGACCCATTCTCCCTCTTTCCATCACCCCGCCCCATTCTTCCTCTTTCCATCACCTCGCCCCATTCTCCCTCTTTCCATAACCCCGCCCCGTTCTCCCGCTTTCCATCACCCCGCCCCATTCTCCCGTTTTCCATCACCCCGCCCCATTCTCCCACTTTCCATCACCCCGCCCCATTCTCCCACTTTCCAGCACCCCGCCCCATTCTCCTGCTTTCCATCACCCCGTCCCATTATCCCGCTTTCCATCACCCCGCCCCACTCTTCCGCTTTCCATCACCCCCGCCCCATTCTCCCGCTTTCCATCACCCCGCCCCATTCTCCCACTTTCCATCACCCCCGCCCCATTCTCCCGCTTTTCATCACCCCGCCCCATTCTCCCGCTTTCCATCACCCCGCCCATTCTCTCGCTTTCCATCACCCCGCCCCATTCTCCCGCTTTCCATCACCCCGCCCCATTCTCCCGCTTTCCATCACCCCGCCCCATTCTCCCACTTTCCATCACCCCGCCCCATTCTCCCACTTTCCATCACCCCGCCCCATTCTCCCGCTTTCCATCACCCAGACTTATTCTCCCTCTTTCCATCACCCCTTCCTCTTTCCATCACCCCGCCCCATTCTCCCTCTTTCCATAACCCCGCCCCGTTCTCCCGCTTTCCATCACCCCGCCCCGTTCTCCCGCTTTCCATCACCCCGCCCCATTCTCCCGCTTTCTATCACCCCGCCCCATTCTCCCGCTTTCCAGCACCCCGCCCCATTTTCCCGCTTTCCAGCACCCCGCCCCATTCTCTCGCTTTCCATCACCCCGCCCCACTCTTCCGCTTTCCAGCACCCCGCCCCATTCTCCCGCTTTCCATCACCCCGCCCCATTCTCCCGCTTTCCATCACCCCCGCCCCATTCTCCCGCTTTCCATCACCCCGCCCCATTCTCCCGCTTTCCATCACCCCGCCCCATTCTCTCGCTTTCCATCACCCCGCCCCATTCCCCCGCTTTCCATCACCCCGCCCCCATTCTCCCGCTTTCCATCACCCCGCCCCATTCTCCCGCTTCCCATCACCCCGCCCCATTCTCCCGCTTTCCATTACCCCGCCCCATTCTCCCGCTTTCCATCACCCCGCCCCATTCTCCCGCTTTCCTTCACCTCGCCCCATTCTCCCGCTTTCCATTACCCCGCCCCATTCTCCCACTTTCCATCACCCCGCCCCATTCTCCCGTTTTCCAGCACCCCGCCCCATTCTCCCGCTTTCCAGCACCCCGCCCCATTCTCCCGCTTTCCATCACCCCGCCCCATTCTCCCGCTTTCCATCATCCCGCCCCATTCTCCCGCTTTCCATCACCCCGCCCCATTCTCTCGCTTTCCTTCACCCCGCCCCATTCTCCCTCTTTCCATCACCCCGCCCCATTCTCCCTCTTTCCATCACCCCGCCCCATTCTCCCTCTTTCCATCACCCCGCCTCATTCTCCCGCTTTCCATCACCCCGCCTCATTCTCCCGCTTTCCATCACCCCGCCCCATTCTCCCTCTTTCCATCACCCCGCCCCATTCTCCCTCTTTCCATCACCCCGCCCCATTCTCCCTCTTTCCATCACCCTGCCCCATTCTCCAGCTTTCCATCATCCCGCCCCATTCTCCCTCTTTCCATCACCCTGCCCCATTCTCCAGCTTTCCATCACCCCGCCCCATTCTCCCGCTTTCCATCACCCCGCCCCATTCTCCCTCTTTCCATCCCCCCGCCCCATTCTCCCTCTTTCCAACACCCCGCCACATTCTCCCTCTTTCCATCACCCCGCCCCATTCTCCCTCTTTCCATCACCCTGCCCCATTCTCCCGTTTTCCATCACCCCGCCCCATTCTCCCTCTTTCCATCACCCCGCCCCATTCTCCCTCTTTCCATCACCCCGCCCCATTCTCCTTCTTTCCATCACCCCGCCCCATTCTCCCTCTTTCCATCACCCCGCCCCATTCTCCCTCTTTCCATCACCCTGCCCCATTCTCCAGCTTTCCATCATCCCGCCCCATTCTCCCGCTTTCCATCACCCCGCCCCATTCTCCCGCTTTCCATCACCCCGCTCCATTCTCCCTCTTTCCATCCCCCCGCCCCATTCTCCCTCTTTCCAACACCCCGCCCCATTCTCCCTCTTTCCATCACCCTGCCCCATTCTCCCTCTTTCCATCATCCTGCCTCATTCTCCCGTTTTCCATCACCCCGCCCCATTCTCCCTCTTTCCATCACCCCGCCCCATTCTCCCTCTTTCCATCACCCCGCCCCATTCTCCCTCTTTCCATCACCCCGCCCCATTCTTCAGCTTTCCATCACCCCGCCCCATTCTCCCGGTTTCCATCACCCCGCCCCATTCTCCCTCTTTCCATCACCCTGCCCCATTCTCCCGTTTTCCATCACCCCGCTTCATTCTCCCTCTTTCCATCACCCCGCCCCATTCTCCCTCTTTCCATCACCCCGCCCCATTCTCCTTCTTTCCATCACCCCGCCCCATTCTCCCTCTTTCCATCACCCCGCCCCATTCTCTCTCTTTCCATCACCCTGCCCCATTCTCCAGCTTTCCATCATCCCGCCCCATTCTCCCGCTTTCCATCACCCCGCCCCATTCTCCCGCTTTCCATCACCCCGCCCCATTCTCCCTCTTTCCATCCCCCCGCCCCATTCTCCCTCTTTCCAACACCCCGCCCCATTCTCCCTCTTTCCATCACCCTGCCCCATTCTCCCTCTTTCCATCACCCTGCCCCATTCTCCCGTTTTCCATCACCCCGCCCCATTCTCCCTCTTTCCATCACCCGGCCCCATTCTCCCTCTTTCCATCACCCCGCCCCATTCTCCCTCTTTCCATCACCCCGCCCCATTCTTCAGCTTTCCATCACCCCGCCCCATTCTCCCGCTTTCCATCACCCCGCCCCATTCTCTCGCTTTCCATCACCCCCCCCCATTCTCCCGCTTTCCATCACCCCGCCCCATTCTCCCTTTTTCCATCACCTCGCCCCATTCTCCCTCTTTCCATCACCCCGCCACATTCTCCCGCTTTCCATCACCCCGCCCCATTATCCCGCTTTCCATCACCCCGCCCCATTCTCCCTCTTTCCATCACCCCGCACAATTCTCCCTCTTTCCATCACCCCGCCCCATTCTCCCCCTTTCCATCACCCCGCCCCATATGTTGCATAATATACGGAACGAAATGGAATCACGAAGGCTAGTAGGTAGAAAATAGTATAATCTAGTGATCTAACCGAATACGAATGACATCTACTTCGTATGGCCGATCAAAGTGATGCATTGGTCAGGGTGGAATGCATAGATGTAGGAGAGTACCAGGCAAAGTTGAAACGCTCATATCTTGCATAATATATGGAATGAAAGTGTGGAAGGGTATGGAGAGCACGAGCATGAGAAAAAATCACCGGCTGCTTTTCAATTTTCTACACCCGTGTGGCTTTGTTAGCGTTTTGGGGGGAGGGGTTAGTCCGAAACACCTTGGAAGGGTATGGTCTTGGAGGGTATGCATTTTGTTTTTGTGCGCATTTCGAGGTGAAACCGTGGCTGAATGAGTGGGTTCGATAACTTCGCCCTCCGAGCGTCCCACGTGTCGCCTTCGAGTTTTCCAACCCCGAACCTGCACCCAACCATTCGTGGTTCCACGAACCCAGTCTAGCTAACCTTTGCTATATCTTTTGGTTGGCTTCACTTTTGCTCGTGTTGTCATCACTTCCGTTATTGCATTCTTCACACCCTTTTCAGCACAACTCACAACTCATAACACTCAGGACGCGCTAGTTCACAATTGCGTTGGGAGTTATTTCAAGATCATTCTGTTAGGTGCAAATGGACCGAAGGGCCTCATTACAAGCGCACCTCGGTACCCTCACCTTTCAGCTGGCCTCTTCACCTCCCACACACTGCTTCGGCCAAGCCTCCTTCCAACGGCCATGAACCATCGAAGAGCATATCTATGCCAAGCACCCGCGCCCTCCGCGACCTCTCCGCGTGCCCCCCTCGTACTGCTCCTCGCCTACACCGTCGCCTTCGCGCTCCTCGCGCTCTGGGCTCTCTCCGCCTCCCCCTCCGCCCTCTGCGCCCCGCTCCTCTCGCCTCTCTTCCCGCCGCCCCGGTCCGCAGTTGGCGGTCGCAACGGCTCGGCAGATGGCGCACACGGCGCGCAAGGGGCGCGGGGGCTGCGGATGGCGCACGGGGCGCACGAGACTCCATGGGTAGACACGGAGGCGGGAGTGGAAGGTGTTCATCTCTACGAAGCAGATTGGTCGGGGGGAGTTGAAAGGGATGGGGATGACGCTAGCAAGGCCGCCCGGGGAGCAGCGGAGGCAACAGCAGAGGCGCAAGCGCCCGCGCAAGAGACGGCGCAAGAGACGGCGCAAGAGACGGCGCGGTTCTTCCTTTACCGGCTGATCGGCAACAACATGGCGCCGCTGCAGTGCGCGGGGCAGCTGCTCCGCAACACGCTGTACGCGCTACAGCACGAGGCGCGCGCGCTGCGCGAGTGCCGGCGGCTGTGGGTACTGAACCACGTGGTGAACGGCACGGAGCGCGCGCTGCTGCTGGACGCGCTGCTCGCGCACGGCGTGGCGCCACAGGTGCGCGCATGGGGGGCGCACAGGAGGGCGCACAGTGGGGCGCACAGGGGGAACGCACAGGGGGGCCGCACATGGGGGCGCATAGGGAAAAGCCAGTGTGATGCGGGGAGAGGGGATGCCACCTGCTGTTGCTCCTAGCTTCCATGCCCCTGCCTGCCTCTTCATTCCCCCTGTGATTCTTCCTCGATTCCACCTTCCTCTTTCCTCTTTCCTCTTTCCTCTCTCCTCTTTCCTCCCTCCTTTTTCCCCCTTCCTCTCTCCCCCACCTTTCCTCTCTTTCCCCCCACTCCCCTCACTCATCTCCCCCCACTCCCCTCTCCCCCTCCTCTCGCCGTGTAGGACATTCTTGTCCGTCGGATCAACTACTCGCACATCGCCACCCTTCCTGAGACCTCCTGGACCGAGGCTGTCACAGGTGAGGCGTTGACTGAGGCTGTCACAGGTGAGGCGTTGACCGAGGCTGTCACAGGTGAGGCGTTGACTGAGGCTGTCACAGGTGAGGCGTTGACTGAGGCTGTCACAAGTGTTAACACCCCATCATTGCATCCCGCCCTAACCTTGCATCACAGCCTGTCATGTGATCATTTCTGTGCCTGTCACGTGATCATTTCCGTGCCTGTCACGTGATCATTTCCGTGCCTGTCACGTGATCATTTCCGTGCCTGTCACGTGATCATTTCCGTGCCTGTCACGTGATCATTTCCGTGCCTGTCTTTCTTCCCTGCTGTCATCCGTGCGAGCTCTGCATTGTGCTCTGCTTGCTGCACACATTGTGCGGTTGATTTGTGTGCATGCCATGGCTCATGTGTGCATGCCATGGCTCATGTGTGCATGCCATGGCTCATGTGTGCATGCCATGGCTCATGTGTGCATGCCATGTGGGCATTGCATGTGGAGCATGTGGGGCATGTGGGGAGTGTGGGCATCTGATGGGCATGGCATGGCATGGCGTGGCATGGGGGGCAGAGCAGCGCAGAACGAGGCGCGCAACTTCATATTGGAGCACGGCAGGGCGGCGGGGGCGCGGTGGGTGCTGGCGTTTGATGGCAACCAGTTCATCACCACACACGCCTGGGACCTCATTCGCCGTGCGGCTCTCAGGCATGAGAGGGCCGGGCTGAAGCTCTTCAAGGTGCGCCTCAGAGTGCTGGGGTGTGCTGTGAGACGGTGTGCGCATGGCAGTTTGGTGTGTAACATGTGCTGACGGGTGCCCTATGCGGCACCTCATTCACATTTCGTCCTTGTGCTGCTCCCCCCTCCCTTGCCCCTGCCCCTTGCCCCCTCCCCCCCAGGTGCCCATGTACCGCGTGCACGAGGAGCAGTCGCCGCGCTGGCTGGCATCGCGCACGCGCTTCCACGCGCTGCAGCGCTTCGCCCCGCAGATGTGGGAGAGCCAAGTCGCCTTCCGCAACGACTCGCCTCACCGCTACACCGAGGGTGAGCACCCACCGCTCATGCCCCGTGCCCCATTCCCCATGCACCGTGCCGGCGTGCCCCATGCCCCATGCCCTATGCCCATGAACCATGCCCGGGGCCCTGTGTCCTGCCCCTGCGCCCATGCCGTGTGCGCGTGCCTGGCAGGCATGGCGTACGGGCGAGACAACAAGCTGGAGCTGATCGACCGCGTGTGCGGCACGGGGCGCTTTGAGGAGGAGCACGCACAGCGCCGCCGCCAGCAGATGGAGCAGCGGCGGCGGCAGAAGCAGGAGGAGCAGAAGAGGCAGAGGGAGGAGCGCAAGGTGGAGAAGGAAGGGCGGCAGCAAGAACAGGAGCGAGGTCGGCGCTTGTTGAATGTGGAGTGCCGTGCAGGCAGCAACTTCAGTAACTCGAGCACACAGGACTGTGCGGCAGAGGAGGGAGCTGAGCTGCCCGTGCAGGGCAAGGGTTTGCAGCACCAGCAGCAGCAGCAAACGAGAGGTGTGGGGGACGGGGCAGTGCAGCAGCGGCGCCGGCTGCAGGAGGCGTTGCAGGTGGATACAGGGCAGTGCGGGTGCCACAGGGAGGTGGGGCGTGACCACCGCATTAAAGAAGCAGACCCCGCCGTGGCACACGCGTGTGGGTACACCGTGCGGCTGTGGTACTTCCCCTGCCCTGGCGTGGACGGCAAGCGCATCTTCGTGGATAAGAAGTACCGCGCAGCGCTGCGGGAGGAGGGACACCGCCGCCTGGCACAGCAGATCAGACAGGCTGTGCAGCGGGTGGTGGGCAGTGGAGGAGAGGCGTCCATGCAGGAGGGCTAGGTTCACAGCATGGGGTGCAGTGGCACAATGTGTTAGATGTATGGTATGCTGCCATAGTGTCTAACCTTAACCTATGGTGCTAAAAATTTCTGCTGGATGCGATCATGCGAGAAAGCATTAATAAAGCTGATGAGCTGACAACAGGAATTGATTAACATTCTTATTATGGAAGATCGCCCGACAGGCATGCTACACTGGTGCAGTTGGCTTGGTTGAGCAATAGAAAGTGCATTAGCACTTGTCAAGTCAAGGCGCCGACTCAGTGCAGTGAAAGAGCTGCATGCCTCGGCCACACACCGCTGCCAGGTACCTGGAGCACACGAGCATTGAAGCACGCACGATGCATTGGAACAACTCGCATTAGCTTGACATGTAAATGCATGTGTGCAACAAGACAGGTCTACATGCTGTCTGACTCCCATCCACCATGAGCCACTCACCTGCCCTTGCCTTGACCCATCACCGCCAGCCCCTCTGCCTCGGGCACATCCACCACACACCGCCCCCTGCCCTCCAACCGCACCCCCTCCTCCCCCATCCCATCCACACACCGCCCCCTGCCCTCCAACCGCACCCCCTCCTCCCCCATCACATCCACACACCGCCCCCTGCCCTCCAACTGCACCCCCTCCTCCCCCATCCCATCCACACACCGCCCCCTGCCCTCCAACTGCACCCCCTCCTCCCCCATCACATCCACACACCGCCCCCTGCCCTCCAACTGCACCCCCTCCTCCCCCATCCCATCCACACACCGCCCCCTGCCCTCCAACTGCACCCCCTCCTCCCCCATCACATCCACACACCGCCCCCTGCCCTCCAACTGCACCCCCTCCTCCCCCATCCCATCCACACACCGCCCCCTGCCCTCCAACTGCACCCCCTCCTCCCCCATCACATCCACACACCGCCCCCTGCCCTCCAACTGCACCCCCTCCTCCCCCATCACATCCACACACCGCCCCCTGCCCTCCAACTGCACCCCCTCCTCCCCCATCCCATCCACACACCGCCCCCTGCCCTCCAACTGCACCCCCTCCTCCCCCATCCCATCCACACACCGCCCCCTGCCCTCCAACTGCACCCCCTCCTCCCCCATCCCATCCACACACCGCCCCCTGCCCTCCCACTGCACCCCCTCCTCCCCCATCCCATCCACACACCGCCCCCTGCCCTCCCACTGCACCCCCTCCTCCCCCATCCCATCCACACACCGCCCCCTGCCCTCCAACCGCAACCCCCCCTCCATCATCGCAACTACAGGCGCCCCTGCCTCCCCCGCCCCACACGCCACCTCCCCCGCATCCAACCTGCTCCCCTCCACGCCCTCCCCTCCCTCCTCTCCTGCACACCCCCTCTCGCCCCTCTGCCCCTCCACGCTGCATCTCCCTTCTGCTGCTGCCTCGGCACCGCCAGCCTCGCCACGTGGCGCGTGGTGATTGGAGGAGAGGGACCAGCAGCGCAGGCGCTGGTCCAGCCCCACCGACAGCACCGCCTGCCCATCCGTCCAGATGCCTGCCGGGGGGCGAGCGTGGCAATGGGTGGTGTGGGGTGGCGTGGTGTGGCATGGCGAGGCATGGCATGGAGTGGAGCAGGGGTAAGGGATGGGGACAAGAGGTTGAAACGGTTGCTGATGGCAAACCTGCTGGTTGAGACTGCTGGTTGGCAAAGAGGATGCCACATGGCTCACTGACAGCAACAACGTGACGGGCACGAGTGGTGTTACCTTTGACAGCAGCGGAGTGAGCATTGGGCTCACATGTCCGCGCCACCACTCGAGCCACCATTCCCCTCCCTCCCCCCTCCCCTCCTCCCTCCCCCCTCTCCTCTGTGCGCAGCCCCTCGGAACGTGCTGTGTGCGCGCTGTGCTCGGCGCCCATGCCGGCCAGGAGCAGCACCACAGCATGCACCGCCTCGTCGTCCCCGCCACTCACCACCACCACATGTGCCGCCCCCACGCCCCTCACCCCGCCATCTTCCACCCCATCCGCCCCATTCCTCCCACCCCCTCCATCCCCTCCATCCCTCCCATCCATCCCATTCCTCCCATCCGCTCGCGTTTCTTGCCCCGGCCAGTGGCCCCTCCCTGCCGTGGTGGCAGCAGCGGCAATGCAGTTAACGCCAGACTGGTGGGCGCCCCTCACCACGCACAGGGGACCCACGTCCACACCCGCCCACCCCTGCGCCTCTGCGCGCCCTTGCTGCTTCTCCTCACCTCCTGTGTCTTCTGAACCTTTCTCCACCTCGCCCCTCGCTTCCCCATCACCTGCCCCTCCCTGATCTCCCCCCCCCCCCACTGTCCCAACAGCCTTCTGTTGAGAATCAACATCGCTCCGTCCCTCGCCTTCTCGCTCTGCCTCCTCCCCTTTTCGTTCGCCAACCTCGCTGCCGCCAGACCTCTCTCCCCCCTGCCCTTGCCCCTTCCCTCCGCCCTGCCTGTGCCCCTTTCCCCCGCCCTGCCCTTGCCCCTTACCCCCGCCCTGCCTGTGCCCCTTCCCCCCGCCCTGCAAGTGCCAGCGTGCATTCCTCCTGCGCTGCCCCCCCTCACTGCCCCGCCCACTCACCGGCCGCACTGCCCCCGAGTTGCTCCCACCTGCTGCACCTGCTGATGCTGTTGGTGTTGATAATGATGAGGGGAAGAGTGGGGGGAGATGCGAGGCAGCATGCCACGTGGCGTGCAGGAAGTGGGTGACAGGGGCGGTGACATCCCAGAGCACCACAGAGCCGTCCGTGGCACCGCTGGTGATCAGGCACCGCGGGAGAGCGGCCAGCGAGGACGAGGGGGCAGCGGTGGGGTCAGTGGTGGGGGCAGCAGGCGAGAGGGAGGTGGTAGTGTGGGCAGTGGGGAAGGGGAGGAGGAGGTGGTGGAGGGAGAGGACGGGGCAGGAGTGGTGGTGGAGGGAGGCGAGGCGGTGCCAGGAGAGGGAGGGCGCGTGGAAGGCCAGCAGGTGCAGGTGCGCGTCTGATGTGGCCGCTGCCACCACCGCCACCAGCGAGCTGCATGGGTGGGTGGAAGGGGAGGAGTGAGGCCAGGGAAGGTGAGGGAGAATGGAGGGAGAGTGAGGAGGGGATTGACAGAGTGCAAGGCAAAGCAGCATGGTGTGAAGTGAAGCCACCTGGCTGCGTGCATGCAAAGGCTTGAGAGGACCCACCGCTGGGAGAAGCTGCCGAATGAAAATGCCGTGACGCTCAGGTACCGCACATCATCCTCCATGCTGCTGCTGCTGCCACTGCTGCCATTACCACTGGAACTGCACGGCACCACTCGCCTTTTATCTGGCCGGTGAGTGCTCAACCAAAACGACAAGACCTGCCGCCTGTCCATTCCACCATCCCTTCCACACGCCTCTGCTCCAACCCCTCCCAGCATTCCTTTCAAGAAAACATCCTCCCATCCCTCCCCTCTGCTTCCCACCTCCTCCCTCCCTACCCGCTGCTGCTCCCCCTCCGTCTGCACCTCCCCCTGCCCTCTCTGCTGCCCAGCGCATGTGGAAGGGCGGGCGGGCCCATGGCACGGGGCAGCAGGCAGGGGGGGCGGGTCTGGGCAGAGCAGCAGCCAGCACATGAGCACCTCGCGAGCTCCAGCTGTGAACACCAGCCACGACGAGGGGGCACCATCCCCACCACCACCACCACCCCCATCACAGGTGCTGCTGCCCTCTGCAGCGCACGTGGCAATGGCTCTGATGGCGCTGCCCCCCACGTGCTCCCCCACCCGCTCACTGCCCTCCACCACCCCTCTGCCCCCCTCCCCTAACGCCTCGTACCTGTAACGGGTGGCACAGGGGGATGTGCAAGGAGACGGGGGAGGTGGAGTGTGTTAGTGATGGAGGGTCGAGGACACTGGCATGGCACATGTGGAACTTGGGAGGACGTGGGAGGAGCAGTGGGCGTGGGGCGGCGAAGGGGGGAAAATGTGGAAGCACAAGAAGCATGCAGACGGAGAGACGGAGCTTGCAATTCTGAAGACAGGTGCCGCGAGATTACGAGGCGCCGCAACAACAGATCACTCACAGGGAGGCGCGCAGGCAGCCATCCTCAGCCGCGGAGAGCAGCAGCGAGGCGCAGGGCGGGGAGGGGCGCGGCGGAGAAGGGCAAGAGGAGGAGGGGGTGTGGGTGCGGGGCGAGGGGTGATGGGGCAGAGGCAGGAGGGCGAGAGAGTGCAGCTCACGGCCGTGGAAGGTGGGATGCAGGGAGCAGGGGGGCGTGGGTGGAGGTGCGTGTGGGGAGGGCAGGGCGGAGTGTGTGGCGGCAGGTGAGGTGCGGTGGATGTGCACATGGTTGCCCTGGTGGGTGTGTGGCATGGGGGGATGGGAGAATGGACGATGGGGGCATGGGCGGATGGGGCATGGGCATGGGGCATGCGGGGATTCAGAGCAATGAAGGCTAAGGGGCAGGATGCGGTGGCTTAGTAAATCAGCTATTTGGGAATCACAATTGATTTTTTTTTTTTAATGTTTCTCAATACGGGGTGAGAGGCACGATGCGGTGGCAGCGTTGGTGTGTGCTGCATTGTGATGCCCTGCCATGAGGCACAACGCATGGAATGCTACACGTCAAGTCTATGTGCATGGCATGGCACGGCACGGGACGGCATGGCATGGCATGGCGTGGCGTGGCATGGCGGCACCTTGAGGAAGGCAAAGGCGAAGGACCCCATGGAGTGCGTGTCGATGAGGAAGGCGTGCGGGCGGCGCCATCCCCCACATGCTATGCGCGCCACCTGCCAGCAAGGTGGGGGGGTGTAGAGGAGGAGATGGAAGATGTTGAACGGGGGGGGGAGGGGGAGAAGGGCTTGGGGCTGGGAGGATGGGGGGGATTGGCGGAGCTGGCCGTGGGGTGAGGGGAGCGTGGCGTGGCAGTGGTTACCAAGCAAGCATGTGGCAGGGGTGCATGCACCCAACCCAAGTGACTGTGAGCGCAAGTGTCTAGCGCATGTCAGTGAATGCACGCACGGCTGCTGCCATCCCCCACTCACGGCTACCCCCCTCACCTACTCAACCCACCTCTGCCTGCTCGTCCACACTCCACACCACAAAGTCCGCCGCTGCAAACCCCACCGCCACCCTGCCTGCCCTGCGCCCTCCTCCCTCGCCCCTCACCCGCACCACGCGCTCCACCATTCCCACCTCCCCTGCTCGCTGCACCCCCACACACACCACTCCACCCTGCTGGCCCCCTCTCTCCTGCACGCCCGTGTCGCCCCCCTCACTGCTAGGTGCACATGCTATGCCCGTATGCCCCACCATGCCCGCACTCGCAGCTGCCGTACTGGTAGAGTTGCAAGGTGGGCCAGGCGCAGGGGCAAGCAGTGGGGGTGGCGGCGGGGCGCGCAGGGCGAAGGTGCAGATGCAGCCGTCCCTGCCGGTCTGACAGCCGTGGGGATGAAGGGAGTCGGGTGGATGGGGGGAGGAGAGTGGGAATGGTGGTGCATGAGGCGATGGGGGTGCTAAAATGGCAGGGAAGCAGAGGGGAGGAAGTTGGCATGCAAATGAAATCAGAAATGGGACCCACAGATGCTACTACCATAGGCAACAGGCAAGAATCACGTACACACCAAATGGTCAATGCATTGCACCGCACTGCACTGCAGTGCAGGCACGGCACACACCGTCCTGCAGCCACAGCACACACCGTGTGGATGAGAGCAGTGAAGCCAAGCGACGCTGCAGCGGCGCCCATGCCTGCTGCGCCCTCTATTGCCACACTCGCCACTGCCGATATGCCGTGCGCCCCCTTGAGCACTGCTGCCACGTGGCAGTCCGCCACTGGGTGGCTGGCAGCAGGGGCGGCGAGGGAGAAGCGGTAGAGGTAGAGGTGGCCCCTCTGGTCGCCCAGCGCTAGCAGCTGCCGGCCAGGCGGCACATGGGACGTCATGAAGAGGGGGGGACGGGGGACCGAAAGGGGGTGGGAAAGGGTGAAAAAAGGGGCGATGGGGAAAGGGGCAGCGGGCGGGACAGAGTCAGAGGAAGTGAAAGCGCGAGATGGGGGGTTGTGTGACACATGGGAGGAGAGGAGGGCACGATGGTGGGTACCTTGCTGTGAGGGCACGATGGTGGGTACCTTGCTGTGAGGGCACGATGGTGGGTACCTTGCTGTGAGGGCATGCATCCACGCACACCACGCGCGCGCCACCCGGTGATTGGATCCTTGCCACTGCTGTGGCCGGCAGCTGCCGCCCGGTCAGGTGAACAGTGTCAAGTGCGAGAGGGCAGGTGGAGGGGGCAGGTGGCGGTGCAGTGTCGTCCAAGTGCCACCAAACAACGCCGCCCGCTGGGTCCGTGGTGAAGACATGCCTGATGGATGGTGGGGAGGTGGGCACTGGGCAATGCGGTGAGGAGGGATGGTCCGGATGGAGGGTGAGGAGGACGAATGGTGAGAGGGATGGTGAGGAGAACGCACCATGCACCATGTCTCCAATGTTCCCTCACACGCACCTGTCACTCAGGCTGCGGCACCAGAAGGTTCCAAGAAGCCGCCTTGCCTGGTGTGCCTGCCACTCACTCCACCAATGGACCTCCACCTCCCCCAACTCACTTGCCCGCCCTCCCTCCCCTGCCACTCCCCCTTGCCCCCCTTCCTCAGCTGCACCTTCCGCCCCTTGTTTCCCCCCACGCCCTCCACCCTCGCCATCCCCTTCCCTGCTTGCATGCATGGGGCGGCGGGCCAGGGCCCAGAGAGAGAGCGAGAGCGCCACAGCCTGCCCCATGCCCAGCCCACACACCACCCGCCACCGCCCCTCCCTCTCGCGCCCCTGCCCTGCTCCTCCAGATTCCTTTCTTCCCTGCCCCTCCTCCTTCTCCTCCTCTTCTGCACTCCCTTCCTCCCTTTCCACGTGGAGGCACACGATTGGCCCGCGGGAAGCATGAGAAGCGGACGGTGGGGCGGCGGGCAGGAGGACAATGGGGGCGGGGCAGGGGGAGGAGGGGGAGGCGGGGAGGCGGAGGAGGAGCAGCGCGCCCAGGTTGGTGGCGAGGAGCAGCAGATGGGGTGAGGCCAGCGCCATGCCGCGGATGAACTCGCTCTTGCTGCTGGGGCGAGGAAAGGGGTTTCGATGCGGTGGTGGGAAGGAGGGAGGAACCATGGGGGAATGCATTGGTTGGTGGGAGGATGGGGCATATTGACGGGCATGCTGACGGGCATGCTGACGGGCATGCTGACGGGCATGCTGACGGGCATGGCACGGGGATGTGAAGGTGCAACCAAGTTCTACGCGCATGTCAAATCCACCCACCCACCTATCCTTGCGACCAGTGTCCCCCTCCACCCCTGCCTCCCCCTCTGTCACAGTGCCATGGGCGGCAGCAGCAGAGGCGAGGGCGATGCTGTGGCCTGTGAGGGCGCCCGTGGGCGTGACGCGCAGCAGCAGCGCGTCCAGAGGGGGGTGCCACGACAGGGCAGGGGGCACGGTGGAGGGGAGGGCGCGTGGGGAGGGCAGGGGGGAGGGCAGGGCGGGGAGGGCGTGCAGGTTGATGGCGGCGTCCGCCCCCCCTGTGATGAGCGTGCGCGTGGGGGGGTGCACCACACACCGCCATATGCCCCGCCCCCTGCTCGTGCATGCACACATGGGTGGTTGAGGGGCAGTATGGGAGGAGGGAGGAGGAAGGTGCGGATGGGGAGAACGGGGTGAGCAAGCACGATTTATTGGCAAAGAGAAAGGAAATGAACTGATTGCGGCGGACCTGCAAGAAATGGGCGTGCGCGGATGGGTGTTCATTCTTGAAACAACCAACTGATTGGATGGGGTTCACTGATTGGATGGGCTGGCATGAAGCTTACTGGTGTGCGGGGATGAGTGCGAGCAGGCGGCCATCTTCGATGCTCCACACACGCGCCGTGCAGTCCTCACTCACCGTCACTGCCACCTGCCGTGCCACCGTGGGAGCGGAAACAGGGGGTGCGGACGTGGGGGCGTGGAGGCAGGGGGGGAGGGGGGGAGGGGGGGGAGTGGGGAGGGTGGCGTGGGGGCATGGTGTAATAGTGGAATAGTGGAAAGGCGACAGCCGCTAGGGCGCATACACGGAGTGGAACGGAAGCACTTGTCAAGAGGAAGGAACTGTGTGGAGAGGTTGGGGTGATGGAAGGGGACAGGAGAAAACGAGGACAGGGCGGCAGGGGGTTGGGGGGGAGGGGGGTTAGGGGGCATGTAAGCACCTGGGAGTCGAGATGGGCGTCCCAGAGGCGAGCCCCGTGGCCGAACAGCACCCTGTGCGCCGCACTGCACTCCACCGTGCCTGTACTGCCGCCACCACGTGATGACTGCTCCTCACAGCTGCCCGCCTGTGGTGCGTGTGGTGCCTTGGCCGGCATGGTCACACGCCACACGCGCGCACTGCATGGCGACAAGTAGGAGGAGAAGCACTCAGAACCACCAGCTGACAATTGTTGGCGCTAAATCAGATTAAGGGAGGGAGATACACTTTTGTGACCCCTGCGTGAACACACCCCTGCTTGCCTGCGGTCGTCCGAAACTGAAATCAGGGTAAAGCTTTCGGCGCCTTCCTCGCTTGAATCCTCCCCATCCTCTCCTCCTCCGCCGTTCCTTCCCTCTCCCCCTCCCCCTCCCCTTTCCCCCCAGATCCCCCTGTCACTCTCCTCCTTCCACACCACTCGGTATATCGATCCCTCGTGACCTCCCAGCCTATGGGAGGGCGCCACGTGGCATGGCTCTTCACTGCTGCCGCCCAAAGTGGCGCAGCAGGCAGAGGCGTGGAGAGGCACGGTCCAGAGCAGCAGCTGCAGGCAGATGGGGTAAGTCATGAGGCGAGGGCAGACGGTAAGGGAGACGCAGAGGCGAGCAGGGCGCAGAGAGAGGAGAGCAGAGTCCAGGGAGGCTCAACATGTGACAGCGCGGTGCAGAGGTGTGCAACTGTGATAGCACCTGGTTGAAGATGGTGCCGGCCGCCACATGCAGGTGTGAGGAGGGCGCGTGCCAGTGCAGGCGCATGGCGTACAGCAGACTGCGGTCTGATGCACGTGCAGTGCAGGGGAGAGCACACGCGCAAAGAGGGAGGGTGGGGCGTGGGGGGTGGGGGGTGGGGTGTAAGTGGGCGCATGCCAGTGTTAGGCGCATGGCGCACAGCAGACTGCGGTCTGATGCACGTGCAGGGGAGAACACACACGCATAGGGAGGATGGGCGTTGGCAGAGGAGGGGGGGGGTGGGGGAGGGGAACACACAGGGACATGTAATCATGCGGGCACAGAGCAATACAGCAAGAGCGCGCACAGCACTGTCGGTGTGCATGCAGATTCGAGGAGGGCACACAGGCGTTGTTACGCGTGGCATGGCATGGTTCATGCATGCACGCATGTTGACAACATGGCTCCAGGGCGCTGTGCTGTGCTGCTTCCCTTGCAAATGGTGGTGCATGGCAGCAGGGTGTAAGCGAGCACAGCACAGCATGGGCCCAGGGGGAGGGGAGCAGTGCGTGCCTGAGCAAGCCACAGAGCGCAGCAGCCTCAGAGAGAACCCCCCGGTGCCATCCTGGCCGCACGTCCCGTCCAATCCAACGGCTGCTGTGGCCCAGAGCTCCACGCTGTTGTCACTCAGCCCCACCGCCAGCATGCCCGCCTGGTGATTGGAAGGGGGAGGTGGGGGTGGGGGAGGGGGAAGGGTAAGGTGTGAGGGGAGGGTGGGGGAGGGGTGCGGGGAGGGGGACAAGGGAGGGGAAAACATGGGGAGAAGGGGGGGGGGGGGATGGGAAGTCAAGGGGTTTGGACGAGGCAGAGGAATGGACGATGGCAAGCAGCATGGCACGTGGGAGTATGCAATGCCCCAGGAGGAGTCATATGGGTCCGGGTGGACCGTCACCTGTGTGGCATGGGCGTGCACAGGGCAGGGCAGCAGGGCGGCATCACACACCCAGTGGTCCCTGCACACCACACATGCACCCACCGCCATCCGCACTCCCCCACTTCCCTGCCCCTCGCTTCCCTGCTCCACACTCCCACCCACCCCCTGCCCCACACCCCCCTGCTCCGCGGTCCCTCTCTGCTCCCCCACGCCCTGCTGCTGTCGCACTGTCACTGTCGCCGCCCCCTGTGCTGCTTGCTGCACCGTCAGCACCACCAGTTTCACCCGCCTCTCCCCATGCACCACCACCACCGATGCTGCTGCTTCCCCCCTCCCCTTGCCCCCGCCCTCTCGGGTCCATACAGCGCCGCCCACTCCCCTGCTGCCACGTGGCACGATCCCGTGGATGCGCACGCCGTCGAACACATCAACGGCTGCCAGCAGCCGCCCCGACGGCAGGTGATAGCAGCGCAGCGTGGGCCCCATGGCTGCCGCGGCGGGCGGGGGTGGGAGGGGGGGTGTGAAGGGGGGAAGAGGGGGCAAGAGAAGGTGGTGGGGGAACGTGGGAAGGGAATGCGGAAAGAATGGAGAGGTGGAAGGAGTGGGGGAAAAAAATGAGTGGGGAGGGGGGAGAGGGAGGTGGAATGGGATGAGGAGGGGCGGAGGGAGGAAAGGCGTGACGGGGGAAGGGGAGGCCATGCGGGGAGAAGACGAGCAGTGGGGGAGCGGAGGGCGCGCGGACGAGGCCGGGCAGAAGGAGAGGCGGGAACGGGAAAGCGGCGGGCGCAGCGAAAAACAGAGGGGAGTGGCATGCGGGCGCGCGGAGACGAGCGTTTGAGCGTGTCTGTGCGGAAGACGCGTGTTCTAGCGTGCGCCCAAGTGCACCTGCGAGCACGAGAGCCGACGCATGGTGGTGGGACGCGTGGGCGACCGCGCACTGCTCGCTTTCCCAGTCAGCCCGCTCCTCTCGCGCTGCTGCGTCGCGTGCCTCCTCCTCCTCCTCCTGGCGCCCGCAAAGCGCACACGACCCTTCGTGAGAGGCAGCGGCGGCAGGCTGTGAGCCGCGCGAAACAGAGGGGTGGGCGGTCGCGGAGGGCCAGGGCAGAAGGGCAAGTGCGGATACATCCCCGACATAAGCTGTCTTGGTAAAATTCGTCTGGACAGGGGCGGACTGAGCCATTGTGGTGGTCTCAATATCGGCAGGGCTTAGCGAGGAGTTTTGGTGATGACAAGTGTGCTGCTAGAAGGTGATGCGTTTTTCTTTACAGCTTAACAATGAGCAAGGTGGTGTAACAGCAGTATAACCAGGCTAACCATTTGCCAGAAATCACTCTTCTTATCAACTCCCCTTATTTTGATGTGGTGTGGTAATAGATCATTGGTGGGAAAATCAGTTTAAAGGTAGTAGGTTTCTATCTATTCTGAATCAGTTTCATATAATGGTATACAATTTCGACATTGAAAAAGTGTTCTTGCTATTCTACAATGGTTGGAAAATCGTTTCTTCGGCTTGTATGGAGGGAGGGATGTGTCGTCAACGCATTCCCTTCGCCCCATCCATGCTGCTGGGAAGTCAGCAATCCGCAGTGCTGAGCTCACTCCTTTGAGAGGTCATATCGGGATCCTGATAGAATCATCTATCCAATCATGTCACGAGAAAGGGATCGCGTGTCAACAACTGTACGTTCTTGGGCGCCCCGATGAATTCACGCACCCAAGGATGGCGAAAGATCCTAGCAACGAATCCGTTGCTGTCCACGAGAAATCGTAACTTCTCCAACGACTTTCGCATGGTTTCCCTCGCAGCAGGCCTCTGATTGGCTATCCTCTCCCTTTGCGACAAAGTACAGCAACAGCGCCACCACCACCACCAACATCCCCCCTCTATCGTGTGTGCTCCCCTCCTGCAGGCTGCAAGCCGAACATTCCACACCACACACCTTGACGGGACCAGCCTATTCCCTCCCCTCAATTCAGTGAAACTGTCGTCGCATTCAGGACCTATTTGTTCGGATAATTTTACTAGCTCGGATCCCTTTCCTGGTTGATGTAATTCAGGAAGGGCAACTGCTCCTGTGCGTAGAGGAGGCCATACTCGCGTGTAGCCATGAATTCTCTAGCGGCTTCCACGGTTCAGCGAGTAGGCTTCACGAAACAGCCTGTCCATGGCGGTGTCAGCCCTCCATCGAAGCGTACCACCGCGTCCCGAACGGCCTGTCTTTCGTCGAGCCATTCTGGTCTAGGAGGTCGCACCTTGCGTAGTGACAGACGCGCCAAAGAACAGAATGTTTCTACATCTAGAGTAGTTCGGATGAGCCTCAGCAGTCAAAATGCAGGAGAACAAGCGTCCATTCGGCAAGCAAACAAGCTCATTTTATCACTCGACAGCGGGTCCAAGCTTATCCACACAGAGGGTGCATGGCTTTCGTGCGATTTGACAGGTGAAGCCCTGGACTTTGTGTCCCTGCCCGGTTTCGCCGTCGTCTCAATCCGGCATCACCGGCTAAATCGCTTTTCGTTGCATCCTCCTTTCAGGCTGCTCGACGCAAGAAGTTGCTCCAGCGGCAGAGTTCCGGCTGGTTCAAGGGGAGGGGTGGCGTGTGGCTTATGAGGCATCACCCAACTCAACCGACAGTTTTGCTGCTTCGGTGCGGACTCCACCTAGAAACCTTGATGCCGTCGTTCAGAGTAGTATTCAAGCATTGCTTCTCACTTTCGGCAATTTTAGAAATTTAGACGTCGTTAACCGTGCGAGTAGCTACCCAGCACATCTTCATCTAGAATGGCTTGCCCTTTTTCTCCTTTTCCGACTGGCCGTATTCCAGGTCGGTGGAGAGGGATGGAGTCTGGCGATGAACGCCCGGGAGTATCACGACTTCTGCCAGCTCCTTAGGGTGGGTCAACGTTATTCTTCGACCGTGTTCATGTTTGTTGGTCTTGTATTCGCTTCTCTCAGCCCCTTTCCGTACAAATTGCGATATTGTACACTTGAAAAACCCATATTCTTGCCCCCTCTGCCTGCATCAACTCTGTTTATTCCCCTCGCAGGCCGTGCGAGCGTCTGTGCTTCGCCTTGACCCCACCGACGTCCAAGAGCCGCTTCAGATCCAGGTGAACCACCCGTGCTCTTATTCTTGATGCGACTCTTGAGGTGACATGTCGGATTTAAAGGTTCTGAGGCTTCTAGATGGCCGCTTTCGTCTGTTCCTGACCGTTGGTACAACCGCTGTGCCCTCTCGCGGTGCCCGCCTCTGCAGGCACGTGGATCGCATATCTGGCTCGAGGCCACCGTCCCGGCTGCCGGGCTATTACCAGATCTCTGCGCTGCTCTTAACGTGAGTTCCTGCGCCCCGTAAACCTTGATTTTTTATTTTTTATTTTATCCCTTTTTCCTAACTCTCCTCGCCGCATCGTTGTTTTCTCACAGCAGGCAACTCACTTGTCCCATATTTCCGATTTCAGGGGTCGTTGGATGGGTCAGACCAGGCGGCGGGCTTCGATCTTCGGTTTGGTCTAACTTCGGCTCAATCTGGCGCCGTGGGGGGCAAAGCAGCAGCACAGGTATCACCGAACCGCCCTGCCTTGCAGTCGCACAGCACCATGCCGTGTCCACTTGTCTCGCCTTTTCGTCACTGATTCAGACGCTGCTGATTCAGATCTAGTCGTTCTGGACAGGCTGCTTGTTTCCGATGTTAAATTTTTATCCTGATCGCCGCGTATTCAATTTGCTGTTCCCGTTACCGTAGGTGGCGCATTGGCCAGCACCCGCGGTGGCGGACGCATTGCAGAGCGCGGGGGAGCTGTTTGGAGTGCCGCGGGGCGATCAGAGCGACGAACAGGATGAGGTGCGAGACAGCACTGTTCCGCTCATCCTTTCTCATCACCGCATCGTAGTGCCAGTAGCGTCGTGATCGTAACGTAGTGAGCCAGTAGCGCTAACGGCATCGTGTGCGCGTGCAGGCTCGGCGAGTAGCGGCGGGCGTGTTCGTGGCGTCGTTGGAGTCCACGTCAGACACCGAGTCGCTCGTGTCCCTCGAGGAGCAGCTGCAGCACATGCGGCAAGAGCTCGCCGCCGCGCGCGCGCAGGTGCGCGCGTCGGAGACCCGCGTGCGGCAGACGCTGGACCGAATGGCGGAGCTGGAGTCGCTCGTGCAGACCACGCGCGTCGTCGACCCTCTTCCCAGGGAATCCAGCAGCAGCCAAGGGGATTCGGCGGAGGGTAGCGCGCCGAGTGATAGCGCAGGGCGCGCGGAGGGGAGTCTGGCGGTGGTGGAGAAGGCGGAGGCGATTCTGGCCGCGGAGCCCGCGGAGCTGCAGAGCGCCGCTCAGACGGCGGCGTCCCAGGGGCGCGTGGCGAAGGGGAAGCGGAAGGGGAAGGCCCCGCGGCGCACGAAGCTGGACACGTCCGGGCCGCTGCCCAAGTACGCGGAGACGCTCAAGAACTTTTGGTTCCCCGTCGCCTTCTCCAAAGACGTCGACGCAACCACGCTGGTGGGTCGCGGGCGCTCGTGCAGGGGTGCATGCTAGGTGGATGGGCGGGGCTAGATGCTGCCGTCTATGTCTTTCCTTCACGAATATTGGATCTAGCGCCCCTGGCATGCTCATTTTTTCGGCCCCGTCCCTTGCAACGTGTCACCCATTCACCATTGGCTGATGTGATCCCCGTCACCCGCTGCCATTCCAACAGATTCCGTTTGACTGCTTCGAGGAGCCGTGGGTGGTGTTCAGGGGCCCAGACGGCAAGCCAGGGTGCATCCGGGACGAGTGCGCGCACAGGGCATGCCCTCTCTCCATTGGCACTGTGGTGGAGGGCCACGCTGTCTGCCCCTACCACGGTACGGCTTCCTCGCACACTTCCATCCATCCCACTGTTCAGCTCTTTCACATGTGCCCCATGCAATTGGGTGAATACCGCTTTCTGGTGTGGCCTGCCTTCTCATACGGTGTCTGTCTGTCTGTCTGTACCTAAACCAACGCCCCTTTGTTTGTGGCCTGGCAGGGTGGGAGTTCAAGCCGGACGGGCAGTGCACCAAGATGCCGTCCACGCGCCTCACCAACGTGCGAGTGCGAGCGCTGCCGTGTGTGGAGCACGAGGGCATGATCTGGGTGTGGCCCGGCACTGCCACGCCCACCGACACCCTGCCCTCCACCATGCCGCCCCCCTCCTACACCGTGCACGCTGAGGTGAGCCTCAGGGGTCGCGATGCTGCAGTCTGCAGTCCCTGTCGGAGCAGAGAAAACCCTCAGTGGATGGAGTTCAGTGCTGTCGTGGTAGAGCCTGCTCGTGTGCACCACTGCCTGCTTGCTGTGTGCGATGCGATGCTCAAATGCACCCTTGCCTGCCTGCCTGCCCTCCTCGTGCTGCTGTGCTGCCATCCTGCAGATAGTGATAGAGCTGCCCGTGGAGCACGGGCTGCTGGTGGAGAATCTCCTGGACCTCGCCCACGCGCCCTTCACACACACCACCACCTTCGCCAAGGGCTGGTCCGTCCCCAGGTCAGTGTGTGCCCTTGCCTTGCCCCCTCTGCACTTGACTGCTCTTACCGCCTGGGAGGTTAACATTGTTCTTCTCTTGTCCTCTCCTCTGTGCTTCCCTGTTGCAGCCTGGTCCGTTTCAAGGCGGCAGCAACGCAAGCGCTGCAGGGCCACTGGGACCCGTACCCCATCGCCATGGAGTTCCGCCCGCCCTGCATGGTGGTGTCCACCATCGGGCTCGTCAAGCCGGGCCAGCTGGAGGGGGAGGCCAGCGCGCAGGAGTGCACGCAGCATCTGTACCAGCTGCACGCCTGCCTGCCCTCGTCACGCGGCAAGACACGGCTGCTCTACCGCATGGGGCTTGACTTTGCCCAGTGGGTCAAGTTTGTGCCTTTCATCGACAGACTGTGGAAGTCTCTGGCTAACCAGGTGAGCTGTGGCCTCCGTGTTTTCATAATATGTGTCTGATTCAAAATGGTCTTGAAAGTCAGAATTCTTCCATGTCCAGCTACTGTTGATGAAATATGCTTGCTCAGGACTGACCAAATGCCATTTTGTCTGCCGATGCTTGAGCAGGTGCTGGATGAGGACTTGCGTTTGGTGGTAGGGCAGCAGGACAGGATGAGACGTGGTGCAAATGTGTGGAACCACCCTGTACTTTACGACAAGCTCGGTGTGCACTATCGGAGATGGCGCAATGAGATAGAGGCAGCTGCCAAAGAATGATTGTCCGCATCACTTTTTAAATTAAGGGTTTTCTTGATCAGTTTTTGTGTATTTTGCATGAGAATAGCACCTGCAGTGCTTGTGATTTTGTAAGAAATTATAAAAAGTGGATTGTTTCATTGCCTTTTTGGCATTATGTAGAGATAGTGTTTCACAATCAGCTACTCTATCGAAGTATTCCATCTTTCTCGCTGATGTAACTAAAGCGAAGGTGGCGATTTCCCGCGATTTCGCGAGTACGGGGCAGAGCGCGCTGAGGGTTTGATTCAAATTTGCTGTGGGCGGGGGTCCGAAGGAAAGGCGCGGGAAGGCAATCCCGAGGGATAAACGGGTGGTTGGTTGCTTGCCTGCTTGCTTCGTTGCCTTTGCCGCGTCTTGCTCCTCCCTCTACTTCCTCCCCTATCCCCTTCCCTCACCTTCCGCCATCACTTCGACTCTGCCTGTCCCTGCAGCACAGCACAGTACCTTGGCCTCCCTTGTGCCTCACTTCAGCCAACTTAGCTTAGATGCGCTTGCCTCGCCTGCCTGAACTTGGTGCCCAACTTTTCGCACCGATTGTAATTAATTCTTTTAGTTCCGCGCCTCGCTTACTGTCAGCTTTCGGTATGAGACCGACTTTTCGTTTAGCAAAACGATAATTATTCTCGCGATGTTGCGCCTTGAATCGTGACTTAGCGGGTAGCGGTGCGCGGTCAGCCATGGCGCCGCACAGAAAGACCTCTTCGCAGTCGAGAGCGCACGCGCAGCCGCGCGCCGCTGACGCTCGCCATGCGCAGCGTCACAAGGCAAGATCACGATTAAACCTTTAGGTTCCGGTTTTCTGCGGCATAGTCCGGTACTTTATGGAGGAGACTGTGTCATCGCCTCAAGCGTCACCTGCACGGCGTCGTTCGAGTTTAGCGCTCGCATCCCCCACCTTGTCCTTCGCGCTCTTCGTGTCATCGCTCACCGTCTCTTGATTGTTCGATTCGTCGCGACCATGTCTGGTTTGAGGGTTTCCTAGCATGATCCACGTCGTTACTCGCGTCTTCCCATTTCGCGTTACCACAAAGGTCTCGCTACCTCGCGAGCTGTCGCAAGCCGACTCGATCACTTGGCGTGGGTCGGCCGCACAGAGTCGCCGTCCGGCCTGTTCCGCACGCCCATCGTCGCCGTTCGCACATGCGTCACTAGTTCCTCCCTTTCGTCCCCCCCTTCCCCGCATCTTCCCCTTCCGCCTGCAGCGACGCAAGCTGGTGGAGCGGCTGGGGCCCGTGTGGAGCGACGGCGAGCTGCGCGTGTTCTACCGCCTGCTGCGCGCCGAGGGGAAGAACTGGCGCAAGGTGGGGGAAGGGAGGGCGCGGGGGAAGGCGCGGGGGGGGGAGGGGGGGGGGTGGGGGAGGAGGGGGGGTGAGAAAGAATTTTCCTGAAGTAAGGGGGAACAGGGGGTAGGCGTCGCGGGGAAGGAACGGATGGGCGTGTATGTGATGGGTGACGTCACTTCAGCAGCTGGTCTGGTTAATATGACGGTCACCCTCGTTCGCACAGCATACACCACCTGATCCAACCATGCACCTGAATCCATGAGGCACCTGATCTAGCCTCCTGGTCGCAAAGCTCAATCAGAACCGTTCATAATAATCTGTCGATGGTTCCTCATGCTTGGTGATCCATGGCTGCTGCGTGCCGTGCGTGGTGCATGCTGATGCTTTGTCCGGTGCAATGCTCTTGCTGGGTGCGTGCAGGTGGTGGCGGAGTTACCGGGGCGAACAGAGGAGATGGCGGAGGCGCTCTTCAACATGAACAGGGTCAGTCCCATCCCACCTGTCGCTCGCCCTCAGCCGTACGATCATCCAGGCGTACGGTTACGCTCTGAGAAGTCCCCAGTTGCTATCCATTGCTTGTCTTGCATCCCTGCAAGTACAAGTTCCCAAGTCCCCTGCTCTTTCCTCATGTCACAGTCTGTTCTCGTGCTGCGTGTGTGCTGCGTGTGTGTGTGCTGCCCGTCACATGCAGGCGTACCTATCGTTGCCAGAGGGAGCAGCATCGGCGGTGGGGCTCGTGGCAATGATGACAGATCACTACTCCATGCTCGTACGCCCCTCTCCTGCCCCACCCTTGCTTGCCCCCCTGCCTGCCCGCTTCCTGCCTGCATGCCCCCCTGCCTGCCCGCTTCCTGCCTGCATGTTTAGTTTTCTTTTGCCTCCCCAGCTACCGCACTTCCCCTGCTCCCACCCTTTACCTGCTCTCTTTCTCGCGAGCTACCACCATTGCACCTTCCAACACTGCTCCTTCCCCCCTCTTTGCCCCCAAACCCCTCACATCCGTCCCTCTCTCACTACCATCCTGGCTGCGCGTCCAGCACGAGGCGGCAGCAGAGCACCCGCACGCAGCGGACGAGGGGCAGGCGGCGGGGCTGGCAGTGCAGGCAGGGGCGGGGGGGCAGGACCACGGCAGCCAGGCCGCCTCCGTCACTCCCCCTGTGGGGCGACGGCGGGGGCGTGCTGTGCACCGTAGCAGCAGGGGGGGCGGGATTCTTAGTGAGAGCGGGAGTGAGGCGGAGGGGGAGGGGGAGGGGGGAAGTGTTGGGTTTCGGAGTGACAGGGGCAGCGGCAGTGAGGGTGCGAGTGTGGGAGCGAATGAGAGCGAGAGTGAGAGGGAGAGTAGGAGCGAGAGTGAGAGTGAGGCAAGGGTGCAGTATCAGCGGCCTCTCACCAGACGCAGGACCAACAGCGTGGGCCACAGCCGGGGGGAGAGAGGGGGACAACAGGCAGGGGAGGGAGCGGAGGGGAGTGACGTGGCGGGCAGTGGGAGGGGTGGCGGTGGGCGGAGTGAGGGTGGGAGGAGGGAGGAGAGGCGCGGGGCAGAGGAGGAGAGCGCGGAACAAGGGGCGGAGGAGCAGGAGGCGCAGCAGTGGAGCGTGGGGAGAAGCACGGGGTCCAGTGCGGGGCGAGGGGGGAGCGATGGCGCCGTGAAAGGGAGGGATGTGCGGGGGGCAGCAGCAGCAGCAGCAGCAGCAGGAGGAGTGGCAGGCGGAAGGCAATCGGCAGGTGTGTTTGCTGCTAAGGCACGTGTCTGTAAGTACCTGCGTGATGCTTTCTAACCCGGAGCTGTGCAATTTCCCTTGTATCCTTTCTCAACTTTCTCACCCCCCCTCTCTTGCAACCCTCCCCCACTCCTTCCAACCCTCTTCCCCCCTTCCCTTCTGCCAGCCGCCCCTCTGTGGTCGCGGGGCAAGCGCAGTCGCAGGGCGCCTGCTGGCGGGGGCAAGGGCGAGGGGGAAGGGCGGAGAGGTGGGGAAGGGGAGAGAGCGGGAGAAAGAGGGGAGAGGGGAGGCGGCGGAGTAGGGCAGAGGAAGAGGCAGCTGGAGGAGGAGGAGGAGGGTGAGGGCAGGAGGAATGGTGGCGGAGGGGGGGGTGGGGGGAAGGAGGGCGACGGGGATGTGAGACTGCAGGCACTAGGGAGGCAAGCAGAGGGGCGCGGACAAGGAGAGCGAGGGAAGGAGGAGAGAGGGGCAGGGCACGAGGGGAGGCAGGGGGGTGTGGGGAGAATGGAAGGGGCGGGCAGGCAAAGGAGCGTAGGGTCGCACACCCCTAAGAAGGCTCGGTCGGCCGTTGCTGTGGTGGGTGGCGTGGGGGCGAGAGGGCGAGGCGCGGCAGAGGAGGACGAGAAGCGACGCTCTGAGGTGGCTGCTGGCTTGCGGGTGTTGCTGGGGCCACAGCAGCAGCAGCAGCAGCAGCAGCAGCAGGAACAGGAGGTGAAGGCAAGGGCAGAGAAGGAGGAGGAGGAGGAGAAAGAGAGCAGAGCAGATGAGGCAGGTAGCAGGTTGGCAGGGGTGCAGAGGCGTGGAGAGGAGAAAGGAACAGGGAAGGAGGAGAAGGTTAAGGGGATTGAGGAGAGGAGGGAGGAGAAGGGCGGTGATGAGGGGAAGGAGGCGAAGGATGGTGAAGAGAGGAAGGAGGGGAAGCAGAGGAAGGAGGGGAAGGACGGGAAGGAAGGGAAGGAGGGGAAGGACGGGAAGGAAGGGAAGGAGGGGAAGGACGGGAAGGAAGGGAAGGGGGGCAAGCGCAAGGCGAAGGCAAAGAGGAAGGGAGTTGCAGGCGGGGCAGAGGTGGGGGCCGGGCCTGGTGGGCAGGGAGGGCAGGTGGGTGGCGTGGGTGATGGGGGGGAGAGGGAGGCGGGGCAGCATGCAGGAGAAGGGGGCCGAGTTGGGGGAGATGGAGATGGAGGGGGAGAAGGGGCTACGAGGGGAGAAGGGGCTACGACGGGAGAAGCAGGAGCAGCGGGGCAGGGGGTGCAGGAGGCTATGGGTAGTGGTGGGGGGGAGCATGCCAGCAGTCTTTTCCACGGTGAGTGAGAGATGTGAGCGGAGGGGAGGGGGGGAGCACACGGGATGCTTTGCCTGCACAGCACGAGTGAAATGACGCCTCTTTAAGGCTCCAGCCCCTCCCAGCTTCCACGATGCATCATGCACCATGCATCATGCATCATGCATCATGCACCATGCACCATGCACCATGCACCATGCACCATGCATCATGCATCATGCATCATGCACCATGCACCATGCACCATGCACGACCATTCACATGAATTCCTTGTTTCCTTCCCTTGCCAGGTGGCAGCTCCGGATTGGATGCCCTGGCCACGTTGGCAGACCTGTCTCTGACAGCTATGGCGCGCGCCAACAGCCATGCTGCCGCCCCTCATACCGCTGCTGCTGCTCCTGCTGCCAGCACTGCTGTGGGCGCCCCTTTCGCCACTGCCTCTGGTGCTGCTGGGATTTCCGCCACAGGTATGAAACGGACCCTTGTGTTCTTGCACTGCCCTGCTTCTGCCTTTGCCGCTGCTGCTGATCTTGAAACATCCTCCCTCTCCTTTCCTCGTCGCCCCATTCCACCCCGATACCCTCAGGCCACCTGCCACCTGCCCCGCAGCCGAGCCAGCAGCATGAGGCGGAGGGGGAGGGCGGAGGAGCAGGTGCAGGGAAGCAGCGCGCAGCGGGCAGCAAGCAGGGTGAGGCGAGGGCGGGAGAAGGGGCGCAGGGCAGCAGGGAGGCGCCCAGAGGGGCAGGGCCTGTGCCGAGGAAGGTGAAGAAGAGTAAGAAGAGCAAGGCAGGAGGGGGCGATGAGAGGAAGGAGGGAGGCGCGGCGAATAAGGAAAAAAACAGCCAGCCGGAGCAGGCAACAGGGCGCCCACGCCCTCCCGCCTCGTTCCCTGCGCCTGGCCCCTACCCTCTGCTGCCGCCACCACCCTCGGTGCCCCCTCTGCCCGTCCCAGTCACCTTCCCTGCCCTCCCTCCCACGCCCGCCATGCCCTTTGCTGCTCCTGCCCTTGCCGTTCCTGCAGCAGCAGCGGCAGCAGGAGTAGCGGTAGCGGCCGGAGCAGCAGCAACAGCAGTGCGACCCCCTCGGCCGAGTGCCTTCAATGTGGTGCTGCCGAACATGCCAGGTGGAGTGGGTGGTGCTGCAGGTGGAGGCATGGCCGTGGGAGCTGCACCTGCAGCAGGTGCAGGGGGGGCAGTGGGAGCAGCGAGGGCGGAGGCGGATCCGCTAGACGACATGCTGCGGCGCTTCCAGCACGCGGCAGCCGCACACGCCAGCGCCACCACCACCAGGCCTGGCAGCAGCAGCAGCAGCACCAGGGGGGGCAGCGGTGCAGTGGGGAGCAAAGGCGGGTCAGTGCCGGTGGTTGGTGGTGGCGGCGCGCAGGGCAGCAGCGGCAGGGCCGTGGGGGCTGTGGGGAAAGGGGCAGGGGGTGCAAGGCAGGGGGTGGGAGGGGAAGGGGCAAGGAGGGCAGGTGGAGGGGAGGCGGCTCGGCAGCAGGGAGGGGGAGGAGGAGCGGGGGGTAAGGCGGCAGCGGGTACCAAGGGGGCTGTGAAGGTGAGGAGGAAGGCGGAGGAGGTGTCAGAGGGCGAGAAGAAGGGGCAGGGGAAGGTGAAGGAGGGGGCAGGGCCGGGCGCGGACGAGCATGGCGCCTTCCCCCCTCGCTCCCTCGCCCCCTCCGCCCCTCCAACCGTGCCTCCCCCGGTTGATCTTGCTGCTGCAGGGCCACGTGCGGCTGGTGGGGAGCAGGGCAGGGAGAAGAAGAAGGGGAAGGATGGGGGGGCGAGGGAGAAGAGGAAGGGGAAGGAGGGAGGGTTGAGGGAGAGGCGGAAGGAGCAGGAGGGGGGAGTGGCGGAGGAGAGGGTGGTCCTCGATTTGATGGGACGAGACGACAGGGAGGGTGCAGGCAGCGGGGTGAGTCCGGTGGGCTATGTTGGGATAGCTCAAGACTCAAGCGCAGCAGACACAGGGGGGCATGTGCTGCAGCAACAGCAGCAGCAACAGCAACGGCCAGTTACGGCACAGCTGCTGCCTCTTCTGCCACCCTCCCAGCACACTGCCACCACCACAGCAGCAGCAGTAGCAGCAACCGCTCCTACCATGGGCTCTAGAACCAATCTGCTAAGCTATCCTCTCTCCCCCTCCTCCTCGCCTTCTCTCTCCCTCCGCCTCCCATCCGCCCTGCCCCTCTCCCCCCGCCCCTCTGCATCCCTCCCGCCACCCGCCCCACACCTCTCAACCGCACCAGGGCCCCTGTTGCTCCAAATGCCCCTTTCCATACCCCCTGCACCGCCCGTAACCCCCACAGCCCCCACGCTCCCCACGCCCCCCATGCTCCCCTTGCTCCCCATGGGGCCCCCGCCCACCCACACTAGTATCTCCCTGCACTCTGCTCCTCTGCGCCCGCCCCTCCCCATGGACGGGGCGCAGGAGAGGGGGGGAGAGCATGCGGCCGCGCAGCAAGGGGGAGGGGAGCAGAGGGGGGGTGCCACGTGGCTCCCTATGCCACATCAGCCTGTGCACCACATGGCGCCACCTCAGCAATACCAAGCAGCAGCAAGAGGAGGAAAAACGTGGGGCAGAGCGCCACGAATAGCAGCACGGGGGGCAGGCAGGAGGAAGAGGCGCGTGGAGTTGTGGCAGGTGGGGAGGGAGGGCGGGCAGGGAGGGGAGGGCAGGGAGGGCGGAGCGAACAAGGCACAGCACGGGCCAGACAGCACAGAAGCGCGTGTGCCTGGGCGAGTGGATGGGATGGATGGTTCTCTCGCCCCCCAACCACGGGTGTGTCTGGCAGTGCAGCAGTGGGCGCGCTGTGAGTTCTTCTACAGCACGCTCGACCGCCCCTGGTTCCGCCACAGCGACTTCCACCGCTGCCTCGCCCTCCTCGCCGCCCCGCCTCCCACCGCCCTCCCGCGCACGCTCTGGCGCTTGCTGCGCTGGTGAGTGCGCCTCTCCTTGCCTCCACATATTGCTGGTGACTGTGAGCACTGCAGCGCTTCGGTGTGTATGCTTCGCTTGAATGCCTCCCTCCCTTGCATGCTCGTGACGCCTGCTGTGTTGCTGAACCTGCCTGTCCTTCGCCCCTTGCTCGTCTACCCTTCTCCGTCCCTTGCCTTCAGTCTCGTTCTCACTTCATTTTCCAACCACACATTCCCTTTCCCTCCATGCCTCCCCCAACCCGTGTCTCTCAACCCACTAATTCCCCATCCCCTCCCCCGCACCACTTTGTCCAGTCCCCCCACCCCCTCTTCTCCCATCCCCCCAGCGCCATGGGCAAGCCCTGTCGCCTCTCCCCAGCATTCCTGGCAGGAGAGCGAGCCAACCTTAACGCCGTGTCATCTCATACCACCTCCTCTCCTCTCCCCACTTCCCCCCTTTCCCCATTCTCCCCGCCCCCTCTTCTCCCCTCCCCCCAGCGCCATGGGCAAGCCGCGCCGCCTCTCCGCCGCCTTCCTGGCCGAGGAGCGCGCCAACCTCAACGCCTTCCGTGCTGCCGCGCGCGCCGCCCTCGCCACTGCCGCTGCCGCCGCTGCTGCTGGTGCGCCTGCAGGAGTGGCGGCGCAAGGGGGCGGGCAGGTGCAAGTGGGGGAGGCGGTACTGGCAGTGCACCCTGGCACGGGCGTGGTGGCAGCAGGCAGGGTGGTGGGCGTGGGGCGTGGTGGGGGGAGGGAGGGAGGGGAGCATGGGGAGGGGTGGGGGGGAGGGGAGGCGGTGGTGGTGCGGTTTGAGGAGGGGCAGCTGGGCACACATGCTGTGGCTGATGTGGACGTGGATGTGCTGCCCCTGCATGGCATGCATGGCGTGATGAGCCTGCCACACCACGGCATGCATATGATGAACGTGCCCATGCAAGGCATGCAAGGCGCACACCCAGCAGTGCAGAGCAGTATGGATGGCATGCACCCATCGCCACAGCATGCATGGCGGGGCGGGCCGGGTCACTTGGATCTCAACGGTTGCCTCTCCCCTCCGCCTGCTGCACCTCTCACTGCCCCTGCCCCTGCCGCCGCCGCTGTAGCAGCTGCTCCTGTTGCTGCTGCGGCTGGTGCGGGAGAGTCGTTGAAGACGCCCACGCACAGGCCACTGGCAGCACCACTGGTGGCGGGGGGAAGTCCGGGAGATGGGGGGCAGTCGAGGGAGCACGATGTGCGCGCTGTGGTGGAGGTGGCGCGCTGCTGTGACAAGAAGGTGAGTGAGAAGGAAATTCTGAGGGTCGGTCTATCAGGGGTTTCCTTTCTAACAAAGCTTTTGGCAAGTTGGGAGGCGATTGTTTAGAGCACGATGTGCGCGCCGTGGAGGTGGCACGCTGCTGCGACCCATACTGTGGGCTGATGCTAACAGGATTCGTTAGAGTTCCCCTTGAGAGATCCTTCACCCAGGGACCCATGTGCCCTCTAACTCAGCTCCCCTTCACCCCCTGTTCTTCCTTCCCCTTCCCTTCCCTTCCGTCTCTCCCTTTTTCTCCCCTCCCTGCTGCCAACCATGTGCTGCGTCCCGTCCCGCCCGTCTCCCCCCTTTCACACCACGCTGCTGCCTCCCAGGCTGCACTGCTGGCGGAGCTGCAGTGGCTCAACCCACAGGCAGAGGGGCGGCTGGGCAGTTGGGGCATGTGGGGGCGCAGCAGTGGGGCAAATTGATTCACTCCCTGTTCTTCCTTTTCCCTCCCCCTCCCAGGCTGCGCTGCTGGCGGAGCTGCAGTGGCTCAACGCGCACGCAGAGGGGCAGCTGGGGGTGCTGCAGGGGAGGGCGGGAGAGGGGGCCCTGGCAGGGGGTGGGGTTGGGGGTGTGGCGGAGGGCGGGGTGGGGCTGGACGAGTCGTTTCAGCGGCAGTATGCAGTGGTGCTGCTGCAGCTTAGAGACACGGACAAGCAGGTGAGGCAGACGGACAAGTGCGTGAGCGGTGGGGATAGGTGCTAGCGTCTCTTGCATTCCTTAATCACAGCGCATTCACCCTTCTTCCCTCGTGCCTCACGCACCCATCTGCACCCACCATACCCCCACCTTTCTATGCGTCACTTTTCATGCAATGCACCCGTCTCATCCCATGCAATCTCCCCCATACCATGCCGCCATGCCCCTCCCACCGCCCCGCAGCTGGACGAGGCACTGCAAGCCCTCAGGAGTCGCAACCGCTTCCTCCACCCCGCGCTCCCCCGCCCCTCGCCCTCCCTCCTCCCCTCCCCCCACCCCACCCACCGCCTGCTGCCCTCCCCCGCCGCCCCCCCTCTCCTCGCCTCCCCCATCCCCTCCCCCCTCATCTCCGCTGCTCGCCTCCTCACTGCCTCCTCCTCCCACACTGCCCTCGCCAACGCGCCTCTGCGCCTCCCCCCTCTCATCCCTCCACCGGCCCAAGCCCCCTTGCTTCCTCCGCTTTCACTGCCGCCCACAGTCCCCCCTGCACCTCCCCCGCACCTCCTGAGAGCCCCTGCCCCTGCACCGGTTGTGGTGCCTGCAGCAGCGCCAGCAGCAGCAGCACCAATGGCACCAGCAGTAGCAGCAGCACCACCACCACCACCACCTGCAGCGGCACCAGCAATGGTGGCAATGGCAGCTGCACCAGCCGAGCCAGCAGCAGCAGCAGCAGCAGTGGACGGGGCTGGGCAGATGGGAGAAGCGATGGGGGAGGCGCAGGAGGAGGGCAAAGCGGAGGTGCGCTGGGATGACCCGGGAAGGGCACCAGGGGCAGGAGCAGAGAGCAGACAGGGGCGCGAGGGGGGTGGGGGCGGAGGGGAAGGGGGGAAAATGGAGCAGGAGGGCCAGGGAATCCTCCAAGGGGTGGTGAGCGGGAGAGGGAGGGCAGTGGGAGGGGAAGAGGAGGGTGGCAGCGGGGAGGTGTCAGCAGGGGTGCAGCAGATGATAGGCGAGGCGCAGCAGAGGGCACATGCCATGGTGTCCGCTGCCCTGCACGCCCTCTCCCTCTGCCCGCCCACCGCTGACCCCTCGCTGCTCCTCTCGCATGCTCTCTCCTCCCTCCCTCCGCCACACATTCCCCCACCTCACTTCCCCTCGGCTCCACCCATCTTCACCCCTGCAACTGGTATCCCCCCACCCACCACCATGCCTCCTGCGGCTCTTGCCGCTGCTCCATCTGCTCCTCTTGCTGCTTTCTCTGGTCCTCTTGCCACTGCTCCAATGCAGCCATTGCACCCACACGGAGCACCACAGGCAACTCAACAGGCACCAGAGCAACAACACCACCACCCATCACCCTTCCTTGCTGCCCCTGCGGCCCCATCTGCTGCACCTGCAGCTGATGCAGACATCATGCGACACCGCACTGAACCTCACCACACCGTATCACAACACCCTGCACCGGTTCCTCCATACGCTCCGCGCCCTGTGCCCCTCCCTGCCAGCACCCCACCCCCCCATGCCTCGCGCTACCGCCTGCTGCAACTCACCCCCCAGGGCCCCGCCCTCAGAAGCCCCGGCAAGCACCCCTGCCCCGTGCAAGGTGCAGGGGGAGGAGCAGCAGGGGCAGGGGGAGCAGGGGGAGCAGGGGGGGCAGAGGGAGCAGGGGGGCGGTGGGAGGAGGGGGTGGGGGCGAGGGGGCTGCTGTGTGCGTCGGAGGAGGGCGGGCTGTCAGTGACGACGGGCACCACAGGGGGTTCTGAGGCCGATGCTGTCACCACCGGGCGTGATGCCCTCGATGCCCGTGCTGCCCCACCTGCTGCTGTCGACACTCGTACCCGTTTTGGTGCTGATGCAGCAGCAGCTGCGGCTGCTGCTGCCGCAGCTGCGGCAGTCACGGGTGGGGGTGCTGCAGGCGCTGCAACGGGTGGTGATGGCAGGGTAGCGTCAGGGGCAGTGGCGGAAGAGGGGGAGAGGAGGGAAGGCGATGGTGGAGGACAACACAAGGAGAGAGGCGACCTTGCCCACCCTGCCACACCCGCCACTGCACTGGCGCCAACAGCTGCTGTGCCGGCCCCCGCACTAGCTGCCTCCCCAGAGCACCACCGTGTGCTCTTCTCCCCCTCCCCCCCTTCCGCCGCCAGCCCCCCCTCCCTCCCCCCCGCCTCCCCCACAGCCACCCTGCCTGTCTTCCCCCCCGCCACCTGCTCCCCTGATGCACGCACAGCACCAGCAGCAGCGGCAACAGCGGCAGCAGCAGCGGGTGCAGGAGCAGGAGCAGCAGCGCATGTGATCAGCCCCCACCGGTCCTCCACCACCAAGGCCAGACCGCCCCCTCACACCCTCCGCCCCCCCGCCTCGTCCCCCTTTCCCACCTCCCCTCCAGACAGCACTGCGCGTGCTGGGGGTGGTGATGGTGGGGAAGGGGGGGCCGGGAAGGAGGGGCCGCATGAAGCAGCAGTGGCGCATGGGGTGGGGGGAGGGAAGAGGGAGGAGGAGGGGAGTCGGAGGGAGGAGAGGGAAGGCTGTGGCAGTGGAGGTGCGGAAGGGCAGGTTCGGGCTTCTGGTGCGGCAGGGGACGTGCGGACGGTCATGCAGCAATGCCTCGCCTCCCTGCTGCTCGTTCAGGTACTGTGTGATCACTGTGCTTGTTCAATGGCCTGCTCTTGCGTTACCATATTGCTGTCTTTTTTTGCTTACCACAAGGCACTGACGTTGCGTGTCTCTTGCTTTCTGACTCACTGCTGTGTGCTGCTTGTTGATCTCTTGCGTCTCAGGCTGCGTGCAAACGCACTGACTTGTCAGCGTCCGACGTGCGCGGAATCCTTCATTACTGCCAATCGACGCTCTCATCGTCTGCCCCGTCTAACAATGACATGCTCACCCGCATTCATTCATGCATTGCTCGCATATGCCAGCGCCTTATCTCCAACCTAGAGGCACCTAGGCAACGCGCTCGTTGCTTCAGACCTCTCTTGCTGGCATAGATTTAGCAAATCAGTAGCATATTAGGTAGTGCTAGTGCTTCAGTATGAAGCACTATATTCTTTTGTATGGCCTTCTCTGCATCTCGATATTGACTTACAATGCTGTCTATACCGAGTTTCGGTCCGAGGATTTCCACCGAAAATGTATTTCTCTGACGAAACGCACGGTCCTTTTAGCAGAGTGGTCGTGCGGAATGTCCACGATCTGGACGATTGGTTTAGCTACTCAGCAACGTCGCATGGCCTTCGTGACTGGGCCAGACATCAGTCGCTCAAGAGGAGCGTCGCAGGAGCAGAGCGTGTGTTGAAAGCTGAGCGGCACGGCGGAATCTCCAACCAGCCAACCCCGAGGGCGGGCGGGCGGGACCTAGCGCATGCCTGCCTCGTGGGTTGGCGGAACTTGGCTCTGGCGGAATGCGTTGGCGGGGTGGGGGGAAGGAAGAGGAGCGGAAGATGTTAGCGCGCGATTTCCCAGGGTCAAGGGTAGGGGTACCTTTGCTCCGCCGCTTCGTGTCCGCCAACATCGATCGCTCGCGGGGAACGAGATGGATGAAAATGTGGTGAGGTGCAGCAGTCGTGCAGGCTGGGGGAACGAACTCGCTTGCGCTGCAGCACTCGCTCCGCGCGCCAACCTCCATCCAAATCCAAACGCACCTGGGAACCGACAGCTTCGAGTCAGCTTCCCGCTCTTGACAAATGTGTAGATGCGTTGTACATAGCAAATAGCGAATCGTCGAATCGTCCCTCTCCTTCGTGTCGTGCGCTGCCTTGCCGCTTGTCGCGGTTCCAGTGTGTGTGTTATAAATTTCGCGTATGCGCTGTCGTTTGAGTCGTCCAAGGTCCCTTGTATTGCCGCGGTCGTTTTCATCGTCGCCTGTTGTCGCCTGTTGTCGCCACAGCGATAGTCCCTAAGAAGATACACTGCTGTCTCTGACGGTCGCGACCAAAAGGAGGAGGAGAACGAACGATGATAGAAACGCCGCCTTTAGCTGCGAAATGTCGGCTCGTAGGGCAGTAGCGTCAAACAAATTAGCAACTACTAGCAGCTACTAGCAGGTATTATCAGGTGTTATATCGGTCGTTGGGGCACTAGTTTTAGCGGGTAATACTTGAGTGGACGCACCACGGCGCGGGGCGGAGGGAGTTGATTCGAGCGGGCGCGGGGAGGGGCGGAGCGATGTCGCGCGTGTGGGTGGCGGGCGCGCTGGCGGCGTACGCGGCGCTGAGCGCCGTCTGTTTCGGGCTGCACCTCAACATCATGCACGCGCACCTGCAGCACGGCGCGCACTCGCTCGCCCGCCAATGGCCCGCCTCTGCGCCGCTCCCGCCGGCGCAGCTGCAGGTGCATCCGCCGGCCGCGGCGGCATCCGCTGCGCAGACTTCCGAGGCGGCAGCGGAGCAGCCGTCGGCGACGGTGGTGGTGCCGGCGGCGACCGCGGCAGGGAGCGGCAGCGCGGGGCAGGAGGGCGCGCGGGCGGAGGGAGGCGAGGTGACTGCGGCGGAGAGGAGGCAGGGAAGCGAGCAGGCGGGACCGGGACGCGTGGCGGCGTCTGAGGGGCCGGCGGTGGACGCGTCGGCTTTGTGGCTGGCGTCGTTCCGCCACATGTCGGAGTCCGTCGAGTCCGCCGCCGCGCTCTACAACCTGCTGCTCTGCGCGCTGCTCCTCGGCGTCGTCGGCGCTAAGGTGCGCGCAGGGGAAGGGGAGGGGGGGAAGGGGGGTGGGAAAGGGGAGAAACTGAGAGGATAGGGGAAAAGAGAGGGGAAGGAGGGCAGGAAAGGGAGGAGAGAGGGTGGGGAAGAGACGGGAGTTGCCAGCGGGAGAGCAATATGAATAACTGTTCCTTATCGATTCCCACCTCTCGTCTACTCCCCTCCCTCTGTGCCCCTGTTGGCTACCCTCGGTGCGGTGCGGTGCTGTGCGGTGCGCAGGAGTTGTTTCTGGGCGAGCTATCGCTGCTAGAGATGCACAAGCTGGCGGAGCGACTCATCGGCCACTTCTCCTTCAAGGTCGGCCCTCCTTCCCGCCCGCCCTTCAAACCCACCTTCATTGCGCAAATCCCCGTCAAGTTGAGTTCCCCGCTTTGCCACACCAACCCCTCGTCTCATGCCGCCACGCCCCTTCCCACCCACTGCCAATGGCGTCCCCGCGCATCTTTCGCCGCCTTCCTCATCTCCCCATCCCGCACCGCTTCCCCCTCTTTCCCCCCGGCAGCTACTGCTGCTGCTATCACTGGTGGACGTGCTGGTGGTGCAGCCCGTGTGGCTGCTGTGGTTCGCCGCTGTCACCGCCATCAAGGTGAGGGTTAGGGTCGCACCACCATTAAGGTTTACCCAGCTGGGTCACTCCGCAGTCCCAGGTTAAAATCCGCGATGGGTCAGTAGACAGCTTTGGGGACGTCTCATTGGCCGTGCGGCTGCTGTGGTTGGCGCTGTCAATTGTGAGATTTCTCAAAAGCGGCTGCAAATGGCCAGCAAGCAGGTGAGTCCATCAAGGCCAACCCCCGTCCCATCGCGCACACTCCCCTGTCCCAGCCAACTTCAACATGCCCTGTCACGCTCGATCCTCCTCTCGCTCGCCCCGTTCCCTCTCCCATGTCGTTTTCTCCCTTCCGCTCGTCATCATCTTGCGCTCGCCCTCCCTCCCCTAGCATGCGTTCGTCTCGCCACAGCACCTGTTAACCCCAATCGCCACGCTCTTGTCCCCCCATCCAAGTTTCCATTCTGTGATCTCACCCATCTCATCCGTCTATCTCGTTCCCAAACATCCCTCCCCATCGCCCCATCCCTTCCCCCATCCCTCCCCCCCCAATCAGATGTTCGGGGTGGTGGGCAAGGAGCGGTCGCAGCGCCTGAGTGCATCACCGTCCGCACGGCCCTCGTCGCACCTGCGCACGCTCGCGCTGCTGCTGCTCGTGCTGCTCGCCAACCTGCTGCTGTGAGTGCCGTGCGCCCCCTCCTCTCCTTGCCCTTGAATCCATCACCCTCAGCACGGCCCTCCTCGCACCTGCGCACGCTCGCTCGCCCATGTATCTGTGCCATGCACGCACCATTTTCCCTCCCATTGTTATCTTCCTTATTCCCACTCACCTCTCCTCCCTCCCCACTACCCTACCCCCCAGCGCCGTGTGTCTGCTCCCCTTCTTCGCCCCAGCCTCCCCTGCCTCCTCGCCATCCGCATCGCGCAATGTCATGTCGCCCTGGCCGCGCCTCTCCGTGGGGCTGCTGTTCGCCTACGAGCCGCTCGTCATCGCCATCGACACCACCCAGGTCACTGCTCCCATACACAACCATGCTCCCATGCTCCCATGCCCCCATGCCCCTATGCTCCCTTTCAACACCCCCTCGACCCATCTCTCCATGGCCCCATTCCCTCTTATCCCCGTGCCCTCTCCGTGGGGCTGCTATTCGCTTACGAGCCGCTTGTCATTGCCATCGACACCACCCAGGTCAGCACAGCAACAGGTACCAATCAGGACCCGAGTGCACTCGTCCCGTCCATGCCCCCGTGCCCCCATGCACTCTCCGTGGTGCTTCTACTCGCCTATGAGCCGCTCGTCATTGCCATCGACACAACCCAGGTCAGTGCAACCGCTGCCCCCCCTCCTCCATGCCCCCATTCCCGCATTCCAGGTCAGCACCCCCATGCCGCCACCCCCCATGCCGCCACCCCCCATGCCGCCACCCCCCATGCCGCCACCCCCCATGCCGCCATCCCCCATGCCGCCATCCCCCATGCCGCCATCCCCCATGCCGCCATCCCCCATGCCGCCACCCCCCATGCCGCCACCCCCCATGCCGCCATCCCCCATGCCGCCATCCCCCATGCCGCCATCCCCCATGCCGCCATCCCCCATGCCGCCATCCCCCATGCCGCCATCCCCCCATGCCGCCATCCCCCATGCCGCCATCCCCCATGCCGCCATCCCCCATGCCGCCATCCCCCATGCCGCCATCCCCCATGCCGCCATCCCCCATGCCGCCATCCCCCATGCCGCCATCCCCCATGCCGCCATCCCCCATGCCGCCATCCCCCATGCCGCCATCCCCCATGCCGCCATCCCCCATGCCGCCATCCCCCATGCCGCCATCCCCCATGCCGCCATCCCCCATGCCGCCATCCCCCATGCCGCCATCCCCCATGCCGCCATCCCCCATGCCGCCATCCCCCATGCCGCCATCCCCCATGCCGCCATCCCCCATGCCGCCATCCCCCATGCCGCCATCCCCCATGCCGCCATCCCCCATGCCGCCATCCCCCATGCCGCCATCCCCCATGCCGCCATCCCCCATGCCGCCATCCCCCATGCCGCCATCCCCCATGCCGCCATCCCCCATGCCGCCATCCCCCATGCCGCCATCCCCCATGCCGCCATCCCCCATGCCGCCATCCCCCATGCCGCCATCCCCCCATGCCGCCATCCCCCCATGCCGCCATCCCCCATGCCGCCATCCCCCATGCCGCCATCCCCCATGCCGCCATCCCCCATGCCGCCATCCCCCATGCCGCCATCCCCCATGCCGCCATCCCCCATGCCGCCATCCCCCATGCCGCCATCCCCCATGCCGCCATCCCCCATGCCGCCATCCCCCATGCCGCCATCCCCCATGCCGCCATCCCCCATGCCGCCATCCCCCATGCCGCCATCCCCCATGCCGCCATCCCCCATGCCGCCATCCCCCATGCCGCCATCCCCCATGCCGCCATCCCCCATGCCGCCATCCCCCATGCCGCCATCCCCCATGCCGCCATCCCCCATGCCGCCATCCCCCATGCCGCCATCCCCCATGCCGCCATCCCCCATGCCGCCATCCCCCATGCCGCCATCCCCCATGCCGCCATCCCCCATGCCGCCATCCCCCATGCCGCCATCCCCCATGCCGCCATCCCCCATGCCGCCATCCCCCATGCCGCCATCCCCCATGCCGCCATCCCCCCATGCCGCCATCCCCCATGCCGCCATCCCCCATGCCGCCATCCCCCATGCCGCCATCCCCCATGCCGCCATCCCCCATGCCGCCATCCCCCATGCCGCCATCCCCCCATGCCGCCATCCCCCATGCCGCCATCCCCCATGCCGCCATCCCCCATGCCGCCATCCCCCATGCCGCCATCCCCCATGCCGCCATCCCCCATGCCGCCATCCCCCATGCCGCCATCCCCCATGCCGCCATCCCCCATGCCGCCATCCCCCATGCCGCCATCCCCCATGCCGCCATCCCCCCATGCCGCCATCCCCCATGCCGCCATCCCCCATGCCGCCATCCCCCATGCCGCCATCCCCCATGCCGCCATCCCCCCATGCCGCCATCCCCCCATGCCGCCATCCCCCATGCCGCCATCCCCCCATGCCGCCATCCCCCATGCCGCCATCCCCCATGCCGCCATCCCCCCATGCCGCCATCCCCCATGCCGCCATCCCCCATGCCGCCATCCCCCATGCCGCCATCCCCCATGCCGCCATCCCCCATGCCGCCATCCCCCATGCCGCCATCCCCCATGCCGCCATCCCCCATGCCGCCATCCCCCATGCCGCCATCCCCCATGCCGCCATCCCCCATGCCGCCATCCCCCATGCCGCCATCCCCCATGCCGCCATCCCCCATGCCGCCATCCCCCATGCCGCCATCCCCCATGCCGCCATCCCCCCATGCCGCCATCCCCCATGCCGCCATCCCCCATGCCGCCATCCCCCATGCCGCCATCCCCCCATGCCGCCATCCCCCATGCCGCCATCCCCCATGCCGCCATCCCCCATGCCGCCATCCCCCATGCCGCCATCCCCCATGCCGCCATCCCCCATGCCGCCATCCCCCATGCCGCCATCCCCCATGCCGCCATCCCCCATGCCGCCATCCCCCATGCCGCCATCCCCCATGCCGCCATCCCCCATGCCGCCATCCCCCATGCCGCCATCCCCCATGCCGCCATCCCCCCATGCCGCCATCCCCCATGCCGCCATCCCCCATGCCGCCATCCCCCATGCCGCCATCCCCCATGCCGCCATCCCCCATGCCGCCATCCCCCATGCCGCCATCCCCCATGCCGCCATCCCCCATGCCGCCATCCCCCATGCCGCCATCCCCCATGCCGCCATCCCCCATGCCGCCATCCCCCATGCCGCCATCCCCCATGCCGCCATCCCCCATGCCGCCATCCCCCATGCCGCCATCCCCCATGCCGCCATCCCCCATGCCGCCATCCCCCATGCCGCCATCCCCCATGCCGCCATCCCCCCCATGCCGCCATCCCCCATGCCGCCATCCCCCATGCCGCCATCCCCCCATGCCGCCATCCCCCCATGCCGCCATCCCCCATGCCGCCATCCCCCATGCCGCCATCCCCCATGCCGCCATCCCCCATGCCGCCATCCCCCATGCCGCCATCCCCCATGCCGCCATCCCCCATGCCGCCATCCCCCATGCCGCCATCCCCCATGCCGCCATCCCCCATGCCGCCATCCCCCATGCCGCCATCCCCCATGCCGCCATCCCCCATGCCGCCATCCCCCATGCCGCCATCCCCCCATGCCGCCATCCCCCATGCCGCCATCCCCCATGCCGCCATCCCCCATGCCGCCATCCCCCATGCCGCCATCCCCCATGCCGCCATCCCCCATGCCGCCATCCCCCATGCCGCCATCCCCCATGCCGCCATCCCCCATGCCGCCATCCCCCATGCCGCCATCCCCCATGCCGCCATCCCCCATGCCGCCATCCCCCATGCCGCCATCCCCCATGCCGCCATCCCCCATGCCGCCATCCCCCATGCCGCCATCCCCCATGCCGCCATCCCCCATGCCGCCATCCCCCATGCCGCCATCCCCCATGCCGCCATCCCCCATGCCGCCATCCCCCATGCCGCCATCCCCCATGCCGCCATCCCCCATGCCGCCATCCCCCATGCCGCCATCCCCCATGCCGCCATCCCCCATGCCGCCATCCCCCATGCCGCCATCCCCCATGCCGCCATCCCCCATGCCGCCATCCCCCATGCCGCCATCCCCCATGCCGCCATCCCCCATGCCGCCATCCCCCATGCCGCCATCCCCCATGCCGCCATCCCCCATGCCGCCATCCCCCATGCCGCCATCCCCCATGCCGCCATCCCCCATGCCGCCATCCCCCATGCCGCCATCCCCCCCATGCCGCCATCCCCCATGCCGCCATCCCCCATGCCGCCATCCCCCATGCCGCCATCCCCCATGCCGCCATCCCCCATGCCGCCATCCCCCATGCCGCCATCCCCCCATGCCGCCATCCCCCATGCCGCCATCCCCCATGCCGCATCCCCCATGCCGCCATCCCCCATGCCGCCATCCCCCATGCCGCCATCCCCCATGCCGCCATCCCCCATGCCGCCATCCCCCATGCCGCCATCCCCATTGCCGCCATCCCCCATGCCGCCATCCCCCATGCCGCCATCCCCCATGCCGCCATCCCCCATGCCGCCATCCCCCATGCCGCCATCCCCCATGCCGCCATCCCCCATGCCGCCATCCCCATGCCGCCATCCCCCATGCCGCCATCCCCCATGCCGCCATCCCCCATGCCGCCATCCCCCAGTGCCGCCATCCCCCATGCCGCCATCCCCATGCCGCCATCCCCCATGCCGCCATCCCCCATGCCGCCATCCCCCATGCCGCCACCCCCATTGCCGCCATCCCCCATGCCGCCATCCCCCATGCCGCCATCCCCCATGCCGCCATCCCCCCATGCCGCCATCCCCCATGCCGCCATCCCCATGCCGCCACCCCCCATGCCGCCATCCCCCATGCCGCCATCCCCATGCCGCCATCCCCCATGCCGCCATCCCCCATGCCGCCATCCCCCATGCCGCCATCCCCCATGCCGCCATCCCCCATGCCGCCATCCCCCATGCCCGCCATCCCCCATGCCGCCATCCCCCATGCCGCCATCCCCCATGCCGCCATCCCCATGACCGCCATCCCCCATGCCGCCATCCCACATGCCGCCATCCCCCATGCCGCCATCCCCCATGCCGCCATCCCCCATGCCGCCATCCCCCATGCCGCCATCCCCCATGCCGCCATCCCCCATGCCGCCATCCCCCATGCCGCCATCCCCCATTGCCGCCATCCCCCATGCCGCCATCCCCCATGCCGCCATCCCCCATGCCGCCATCCCCCATGCCGCCATCCCCCATGCCGCCATCCCCCATGCCGCCATCCCCCATGCCGCCCATCCCCCATGCCGCCATCCCCCATGCCGCCATCCCCCATGCCGCCATCCCCCATGCCGCCATCCCC